GGAGGCTGTTTTTTTTAAATACGGGCTTCCTGTTTTGCAGTTAGAAGCTCCATGAGATGTCGATAACATTATAATTTCAACGTGTCACTGGACAGGTTCAGAATAGGGCGGGAATTGGTCGTTTTCAGGACAGGTCAAATTTTCTGACCCTATTATAATTGACCAAAATTCAATCCGTTTAATGAACAGGTCAAATCGCAATACCCATAACTGACAAGCATGCAACTCTTATCACCTGAACTAACTAGTTTCTCAACAGGTCAGATTTGATTTCTAAAATGATATCATAAAAATGCAAAACAAAGGATTCCAAACAACAGAATAAAAAAAGTAACTTTCCATAGTCTATCCAACTAGATAATCACAAGTTTGAAGTTGAGGTGGTGTAATTTTATTCATTTTTAAGTTGCAAGCTAAAAAACTTCGAGAACTCAACTTGAACATGTGAAGAACGACCAACATCAAGTAAAAAAAAGTAAATATCAATCTATTTAACCAGGTCTTTTCTGGTCACGCAGGTAATGACTATACTGAATCTGAGTTGTCTGTTAAGAGAGTCGATCTCATTAACCCATTTAAGACCCACCACCTGTAAAAGGCCAATCCTTTCTCGCTGACTTCCCAGACTAAGACTTAACTACAGCTGCATAGTTGTGCGTATCTTATACTTCAAACTAAAATGTGAACAGTCTAGGTAGCACCGAAAGTTGCCCATAGCTGCATGGCCTCAGACTGCATCAACTAGATTGATAATGTATGTCTGATAGCAAGGTTTTTTCTTCTTGCATATAGTTGCATAAAACTGCACCATTGTTACTCAGTCACGTAGAGTAAACCACTTACTGACTTCATTCACTCAGAAGCATAGTGATATATGATATGACATATGTACTCATGGACAAAGGAATTACTTATCAGTGAGGAGAAAACACACTTACCTGCATACCGCCGAATAGGAGAAGTGAAATGAGTATAGAGAGGTGTAGCAAGTCCATAATGGTAAAATTCTGATAAGCTCAAATCTCCACTAGAGAAATAGACTGCCTACGCACATCATGATCCAAGTATCAAACTTAGAGACTACATGATCGTAACTATAGTATCTTTATCAAAGTCCTCACAAATGAAATTATACCTGTGTCATGCACCTAGTAGCCAAAATCCTGATCAGCTTATTAAAGTATGGATCCTCACCCTACAGTTAGAGACAAATAAACATCATGAGTACCCTGGGCAGCAAAATAACAACATTCCAGCTTTATTTAAAAAAGGCCTAACATCATATTATCAACCGCACAACAGAGCACTACGCAGAACTTAAAAAAAAGAACTTACCAGGACCACTGCAGAAGCTTAGCAAAAGGAAAAAATTGAAGTGTGTGAGTGTGGGTGTGGGTGGGTGGGGGTTGGTGGAAGATGGAATGAATCCTCACCACTGCACGGTCAAGCGAATCAGCTAGTGCTTTAGAAGATGAAATATCCAGATCTAAGCCAACAGCAGCAGCTGTACGCAGCAACGGTTCAAGCATCTCTTTTGTTGGAGAAGGATGACGCCTGATTCCACATCAAAAGTAAACAACAACATACAAGAACATAAATCAATCTAATTTTAGCTTGTCAAATAGAAGCTACTACTATCTTATCTATGTTGGTTCATTCGCCAAGAGAAGCGTTACCAAAAAGATATCCGGGCATACCTCAACAAGGAGCACAAAGGAAAGTGTTTTAAGATCTTTTCTGCAACAGAAATATTAGCAGCAAGCATAAACTCCTCAATCATTTGATTTGCCTCCCGGATCTGATACATTCCTGCCAATAAATGAATAGTTAACCTCAATCCTGAATCCTCTTACCTCTACTATGAATTAAAACCTTCTATAAATTCAACTACTAACCAATATCTAAAGGATCATGAGTTTCAGTATCAATTTGAAATTTAACTTCTGCTGACGCAAGTGTAAGTGCTCCTCTGTCGATACGCCTTTGTCTCATGATCTGTTTTAACATTCAAAAAAATGTGAAGAGCATTCAACCAGATCATTAAATTAAAGACTTTTTTTTTACTATGTAAGTGTAATGGATTCCAAGACACCAACCTTTGCTAAGGAGTTCATATTTCGCAGGTCAGTTGTTAATGGGTCCGCTAAGCGGCTGCAAGAGACATTGGAAACAATCAGAATAAGATATTGGTTTACACAAAAATAAATGCAATCCACAGGATGCAGCAACAAAAACCATCCCGTTGAAGCAAAATTAAAGCAAATATCAAACTGAAAATTCAGAATGTAAGGTTTGAATCATGGTTTAAAGTATCAGCCAATATCAATATATATCACAGTTCTCATATCAGGATTTTAAGCATCTGCTCTCCAGTTCAGTCAAAACCGAGCAATAACAACAGCGGTTAATACTTAATAATTATTAATAACACAAGGATTGGCTAATAATTGGTGATATTAGGAGGAAGTCTGGGCTTCGGTTCACCAAAAGTTTATTTGATATTGTATTATTGTATACATATAAACTTAAAAACTAATGAATAGAAAGTTCATGATTAATTTGACTTATTGCATGTATTGATACATCTGACCAGAAGCTGTAAAAATCAACAAGGCTCTCGATATCGAAACCAATAAAACCAAACTCGAAGTATAAGATAAGATAAAAGGCTAGATTTCAAGAAACTACGATGATAGCTTTTACTTATTTTTCATAAAGCTACCTTAAACTTTTTCTTCAGATAAGTACAAAGTTGATAGTTTTGTAAAAAGAAGTGAAGAAGACATGGAAGGTTCTTAAAATTTAATCACGGTAGTTTCAGGGAATTTATTAAGTCTGCAGGAATTATGCATATCTGTGTAGTTTCTAAAAAAGCATCCATAATTTCATGGTAGTTCTAATCGTGGTAGTTTTTTGGAATTTAATGTAAGGTAAATCCACTCAGCGGGTCATGTGCTTCTGGAGCAGAGTTAAGTTTTTGTAATATCTTAAAAAGCAAGCAAAAGTAGTTTCTTGAAATTCAGTCCAAGTAAACTAACTCTTAGTGCCAATAATATGCCTTTTATATCAACAAGCTGGAAACCTATGTTTACTGCAAATATATGCACTACAATAGCAGTGTGTGTGCGCGAACAGTGTGGGAGGAACATAGTCCAAATCTTTCCTGGTCCTGTGATTGTTGTTAATGGTCTATGCATCATCCCCATCTTAGCCAACCATTCCAGCCAATTCTAGTGAAACGTGTTCAGTAATCCATAAGGCACATGAAGGCAAGAATCATCGTCGAGTTGATGGCACAAGAGGTCAAAAACAAAGAGGTGATGAATTTGGCAAGATGAAGCAGGCCGCTAATACCAATACTGATGACTTCCTAAACATTAATAAAGGGCTACAGATTGTACAATAATGGTGCAGGTAAAGTTTCAGCTGAGCTTATAGAAGTTCAAAATACAACCATAACTTCAGACCTTACTTCATAACACTAAAGCCAGAACAATTATCCCCATTTCACTTCAGGAAGCAAGAGGAAACCCAACCGATCCATGCACAATTAGCACATTAAACAAAGCTTAAGCATGTGGTTTCGTCAAACATTAGCACATTAAACTGAGCTTAAGCATGTGGTTTCATCAAACATAAGTTATCATAAGCTATGTGGAAAATGAATAAACTAAAATTTGATTTCGTTGAATAATGGCGTTAGGGTAAGAAATCTAGTGTAAATAATCCTATAAAACAGCAAAAATAAAACCATATAACTAAGATAGTCACCCAAAAAAGCAGCAAAACAGAAACAAAGCATACAAAAATCAGATGGAAGCACCTGTCATCCATTCTTGCTTGAGCTTCTACATACGACATTGCAGCGCAAGACTTTATAACACTCTTAGTGTATCTTGAAGATAAAATTTCTGCTTCTGGTGTCATCTCCTGTAATTCACAGAGAAAGAGTGGGAAGAATCAGTGAAAGTCCTGAGATCCATTGATGTAGATTTACCACAGGACTAGAAAAATGAACTTATGCGAGAAATTTTATGGCTTTTGTAAAAAATTCAATAAAAAAGAAAGACAAATCAGTAAAGAAGAGAGCACAATTGAGTTCAACAAGGACGCCATTCTCCAGGCACACTGCAGATGACTTTTTTTATTTATTCTTGAAGAACATCTAATGCAGTTGGTTAAAAAAAGGGACGAAACAGAGATAAAAGAGGACAAGCACATATCTGACCGTGTTCTTCCTCATATCAATGTACATGATAAGACCTGACAAACAGTTAATGAAAAAGAAAAAGAATCAAAACAAATACTGCAGCCAACACAACCATTAAATCATATGGAAGTTTCCTACGAAGACTTCCCATGTGGCCTCTCAGACGAATTATCAGGCATGCCCCACATCACAGGTTTCACCATTTTTTACCACTCAACGAGGTAAGATACCAGCACTTTGGAGAAAATGTTCTATGAACATTCTGACTTTAATTAAGGATGACATTGACTTATAGTCTACATTCTATCGAGAAGACATTAAACAATACTATCATATCTCAAAACTAGAGATAAAACAAAGAAAAAGCTGGCTAAGGTATATGAACACTCAAAATAGAATAAATCTCCTTAATAGCATAATCTCCAAATGCATGAGTAAAGCACTTAAAAAATTGTCAGTGGCTAACCAACTATGTAAAATGAGATTTGAAAAGGTAAATACCCATAGAACAGAAAAAGCCAGTCTCTCCACATCGGAACGAAGAGAGCATACATCTGCAAAATAATGTAACTTTTCGAATGAGTATAATTATATTTTGAAAGAAATCAAAAGAATTATCCACAAAGGATCAAGTCAAAAATAATACAAAGGTATATTGAAAAAGAATACCTTCAGTCAAGGGCTTTGGAAGCATGTCAATCCGCCGTTCTACAAGATAAACAGATGTACCCCTCTGTGAAGCCTCCTCATCAAGAGGAGTCCCAGGATGAACAAAATTTGTTACATCAGCAATATCTGATAGATATTATTAAAGATCACAACAACATGAAGATTATAAGTATTTAACAGTGAGACAGGAATAAAGGTTACTAGTCTTGTGACAATGTGATTGAAGTCCTGGCTATGATATTAAAGGCTATGATAATGTCATTTGAGTTCTTCTTTTTTCCTTGTTATTTACAAACATGAAGGGTAGGGAAACAGCTACGAATCAACGAAGTCATGGGGGCCAATGCTATGTGCAAAGATTCAATGCGGATTTTAAAATTTCGTACAGAGGATAGCTCTATGCATCAACTGAAATGGAGGATACAAAGTTACACAAACCTTAGTGCCCTCTTTAAGACAAAATATGCAAGAGCACAGAATATTAAACTACTTCGGTACTACCCTCTTTACAAATTCATTTCAAGTTGCAAGTTATTCAGCAAGACCAAGAAATTAAAGGCTCTTATATTTTCAGATGACATAAAGACCAACCTGGTATGTGCATCAAGATTTGAGAGGTAGGAGTTCGGCAATGACTTTTCAAAAACATGCGTAATTAACATTAGATAATCTTTACCAGAAGTCATGCTTCTGTCAAAAGTTAACTAAATTTTAGAGAAAGATACAACAAGAGAAAATCAACCAGTGTAGGCATTTGATCTTGAGTTCTATCAAAAAGAAATGCACAATTCAAGAGAAACATTAAGATTAGTGCATGCAAGCAACTGTAATGATTATTTAGTCATCACAGGAAATATACGACTCTAAGCCCTATATTAAGTGATTATAGAAGCATGATATTGGTGAAAGCAGTAAAATTCTAGTATAATGTAGACAGATGAGATAGATGGAGGATACGAACTCCCACTTCAAAATTCCCATTGGGAAGAAGCGTACAATGTAATGCATCATCAATATCCTTGCAACCTGAGACAATCATAGCACAGCGAGTTTGTACAAGATAGAAATATTGAATAATGAGCAGTTGATAAGTAATATTACCAGGTGGATCCACACTAAATACACGCACATGCCGTAAGTCCAGTCTATGTGGATTAGCCAGATCTTCAGGAGACAAAGACCAGGGCAAGGGAGGCAAACAAGCAAGTACTTGTGCTGAAAAAGGTCTTGAGTTGATGTCATTCTCAATCAACACCACCTGTTAACTCAAAATTAAATCCTAATAACTATAAGTCTATAATGTCTTATATGTTTGATATATTATTTGCTTTCAGCCGAAGATCATAGAACCCTCAGTTAGAAAATGATTCTTTTAATTTTTTAAACAAGATCAGCTCTTATCATATAACATAATAAGGTTGCAAATGCACTTGCCTCACTTTCAGTGTCTCTATCACCAATCTCCCCAATGGTCCGTACATAATGTCCCGATGGATATCGAGATGAACAATCCCAAGAATCAACAGCAACAATGATTCTCTTATCCAGAAGGTTTCCAAGCTGTCTAGTTTGAATCCGGATCTTAGGTATCCTGCGGTCTTTGGAGACGAATAAAGCATGAGCAACACCACCATTACCTGCTGGTAAAGGCATTGGCTCCAATGACCCACAATAACTACAAAAGAAATAGAACTTGTAAGTAGGGGTGCACTCGGTCCGGATACGGCTCGGATATGATGCTTACCATATCCATATCCGCTTACCCATCTCGGAGACGGATATACCTTGGTAAGGAAAATTCATAACCATATCCGCTAAAATCGGATACGGTTACAGATATACATGCGGATATATGAGCAGATATGCATGCGGATACAAAACGAATATGAGAAAACTAGATAGTATGGAGAAAAACATAGTTCATGTGATACAAAAGAGTTCGTTAATATGTTCATTATAATTGTAATTGAAAAGTTAAGATTAGACATCTTGAGAATCAAAATTAATCACAAATCCATAATCTAAGAATCGAAACTATCGTAAGAGTATGACTAATATGTATTCGGATATTTCGAATACGGATACGGATATTTTACTACAAAATCATATCCTATCGGTTATAGATTTGAGTAACCATATTTGTATCCTAACAGTTACGGATATTTCCTCGGGTACGGATACGGTTTAGCACCCCCACTTGTAAGACTTTGGTAATAATACCATCTTACTAAAATCAGATGACAGCCAGCAACGTTTTAACAATTAAATCTGTATAAATATTTGATAAAAGTATTAAAGGTCATAGACAACACCAACTATTTAAATTGTGAAACAGGCTCGAGTGCTATGATAGCAAAGGAAAATGGGAAGAGCATTAGACTGGGATACGTCTAGGTGGTTTACTGGTATAGATTAGAAGCATACATTCGCTGCAGAAGAGAAAACTTAAGGAGTCTCAAATCAATCTACTCACATGGAGGACCTAATAACTACGGTTTATGCAGTGGCTGAAATTGAGTAAAAGAAACTAGTGTTTTAAGTAGGCCATTTATACTCTCTTCACCAATTTTCGTACAGGAAGCAAATCATGCAAGTTACTACCTATTTAGCTATCAGATCATTCTGGGATATTACATGAAATGTTTACTCAAAAACTTAAATGCATTGTGTGACACTAGATCAAAAGAGGGTGTCGAGGGTCTATAAATAAGTATACTCCATCATGTCGATAATCAATCAAATCAAAAATTGCTTCACAGTTGTTCCAACAAAAGTCACTCCCCATGAAATGCTAGGAATATGATACCGCATTCACTATACTGAACGACCAACTTGGCCTAATTCCATGCTTAAGGTCAAGTTCCCTAACCTATTAGCTTCCTGAAATCCATAGCACAACGGGGAGAAATTGAAGCACAGATAAAATAAAAAAAAAGGTCCTGACCTCAAGAAGGATGCATTACACATGTTACTTTACTTTTGAATACTTCTAACGCTGAATATGTGGGAAAGGTGGAACTAGTGATATTTAACTAAAATGACGTCAGAACAAGAGAATACTGTTTGATACAAGAATCAATTACATAACAAGATCAATCTAATCCTAAAATATCGGAAACAAATCAAGTTAATGCCAAAACGAGCACTTCAGATTCGCGTCTAATAAGCATTAAGTTAACTTACGAGTGCCAGTTACGTTTTATAATGCCAACGACATGCCCAAGAGGACGGCTGGAATCAGGAATCACAGATCCAGAAGTAGCTTGCAAACCATTTGTATTCCTGGGAGCATCATCAGCACTGCTTGGAGCCAAGCGAACACCATCATCCTCATCATCTTCTGGAATGAGATAAAAACAGATAAAAAGGACATTTTCAACCGTCATCGGTAATAAAAGTGGAGATCATATTCTCTACAAGGATACCATTGTCAGCAATCATTGAAGACTCCCCCTCATTCCATTGATCTTGTGGCAGGAGTCCCACAGCAACTATGTCTCCATCAAAAGCTCTATTCATGTTTATGCGACCGCGAATAACTATTTCATCACCTATACTCTCACTGCCAACATAAGCCTCAAATGGATTGTAACGATTAACTCGGAGTTTGCCTTGATGGTATATGCCATGTAACAAGCCAGAAGTAATCTCTGACATGGGTTTATGCTGCATGACAGAGTGACAACTATCTATAACTAAAAGTATGATAACAATGAAGAAAATTATTACACAAAAATTAGTAAACTGCATTAGAATTGCTGATAAAAGTGTATATTATAAAGTAAATAATATACTTCGCTGTAGATAATTTTCTTCTTTGATGGTCTCAGATCTTCAACATCCTCCATTTTCGTATCTTCAGAGGTCGGTAGCACAAGCAAGTCCAGAAGATCAGGTTGCCCAAGTGATTTTACATACGACTCAACTGAAAACCAAAACGCCTTTCCAATAAGTTGCTCAGACAATTAGAGTTCAACTGAGTAGTTGGGTTATATCTAGCTGGTAAAAGTACCTGTCTCTGCAGAAAGGCCCTCCTGAATAGCTTTGCTTTTATTCTCTCTATCATTAGTAATAAGTATGATTTGTGTTTTTCCAACCAAATGACTTTTGTACCATTTTGCAGCCACCCGAATTGCTGAACAAAAAATTAGATATTAATATCGAAATTTAGAGTCAGCTGAGATAATAATTAAACAGCTATAACCGAGTTAAAATTTTAGTTGTATCCAACATATATATCAGATTATAGTATCGGCAGTTAGGTGGCTCAAAATATTTGAATCTATGTGACAAAAGAAGTCACTTGCTGAAAAGTGGTTGCGTGTGACAAGCAAGAAAGAGACGGTCAAGGAGTATCAGAAAATTAATTTCCTGTTACGATCTTCTACGATCAGTGATACTAGATGGGCAAACTAAAGTTACTAACTACATTACCCAGGCACTCTTATAATAAAGCCGTACCCATACCGGAAACGTATCCGACACTTTCTCGTACCCAAACTTCATGGACACTTCTTGAATATATGCACGCATTTATTACAACATGTACTCAATTATACGATATATGTGTTAATTTAAAACACTTGTCAAACACTTCTTGGACGCATAGCTTACACTGCACATCCATTTCTTGAAACTAGTTAGATATGGTTGGGTTCGTTGCAGTCAATACCCTATTTCAAAACTATATAGTTAAAGGGTCGTTTAGATGTCTAGTAAAAAATTGAGTAGTTTCCACTTTATGATAATCAATACGATAAAACAAACTTAAAAATGTGATCGGAATTTTAATTCTAATGACACATGAAGCGGGAAAAAAATGATCTCATGTACATTATGAATTCAATTAGATTAGTACTAAACCATCAAAGGCAACTGAAAGTTAAGATTTCTTCCCAATTAAAATTATAAAACAAGTTTTCAGCAATAACAACTGAACTGCAGCAAAAAACCAAAAACATATCGGCCATTCAAGACAGAGAGCTTAAATGCCTACCTCTGTCATTTCTGTCATTTGGGCTTTCTCCGGCCTGTTGAACAACATTAGTCGCCCTAAACAAAGAAACCACATGACATGTTGAACTCAGCAAGTACATTCAATAGCAGACAAACATGATCCAATTTAAAAGAAGTGCATGTTTCAGAAAACCCCCCTGAACTTTGGGGAGTTTCACAAAAACCCCTGAAATCTCAAAAAGTTCTTCCCACTGAAATACTATATTATTCTAAAAAATAGCCCCTCTCAAAATTCAGAAATATCGGTTTCACATTGACATGTTGAAATCATATGATTTGCAATATCTTTCACCTTCTATTTATGTAAAGTTTCACATTGTTTCCCATCCACTACCCATATGGGTGCTTGTTGTAGGTTTTAATTACTTGTTATTGCATGTGTTTTCTTTATAATGGAAGGCTATAAGAACACATGAATTTATTTGTATTAGGTGCACATATACTTCGGTTTTACTAGTTTCTTGTTTGGAGAAATGACAGATATATAATAAAAATCCTGCAATTGTTAGTTGATGCAGTTAAGTAGTTTAGAATAGTAATTACGAGTTTAATTTTCAATTTCAGTAGAATTTTCTTTTTGTTCCTACTAGTATAATGCACGCGCTTTGTATGTGAACATTTTTTTTTGTAATCTTTTTCTTTGAGTGTAAAATTATGAAGTGACTTTTATAATAACATAAATTCTTAAATTGAACAATTAATAAATCTTTACATTAATAAATAAAGTTGTGTATAAAGAATTGTATTAGTAATTTTTATATTCTGGATAATTATTATACTTTAATAAGAATTGTCTAAACATATACAGTTAAGCTGTTCTAGTGTCTATTTGGTTTTCTATGCAAAAGCAAAAACTTGGTGGTTGCTTGTGAAAATGAAGACCTTCTCATGTACTTTTTCATATGTTTAGACAATATAATTATCAAGTATGTGAAGATTCCATTTATGATATTATATCAACCTATCCGATATGGCAATCCGATATTTTTTTCATGTCCCCCGATATATCCCCGATTTCCGCTATCCGACATGAATTTTGGCCGAGCGACATGAACCCGACATCCGATATTTAAAACCTTGCTCACTTCCATCAGTTCAATCTTATTGAAAAAGTATATAACTTTTTTGGAAGCTCAGGAGGGCAGTTGCGAAACTCACCAATGACATTCAAATGCTGTTATACCTACTCTAAAAGTTGATGGTAGTTTTGTGCAAATCACCCCAAAGTTCAGGGAGGGTTTTCTGAAATTCACCCACCCTTTAAAAGTTTAAATTTTCATGCTGGAATTGCGAAAAAAGCCACTCACTTGAAATGCTCATTGGCAAAAACATAGAACTTCCTCATAGGGTTAGTACAGAGCGCCTTCAGCCTATTATACACCGCCAAGTTCTTGTGCTTCACCTCCTCCAACACCACCGAGAGAACCACCACTTCGTCAATCGCCGGGTTCTCGAGCAAATCAATCTGAAACCCTCACCACAGTCAAAACAAAGCAATCTTAAAGAAAAGGGCTCTCTCTTTTTTTTAACCTACACACCCCCTAAAATCAACCAATATTTGCAAATTTACCTAAAACATTTGCTAATTAGAAAAGATGGCGGCTTGAGGAAGAAGAGGGACCTGATTGAGGACGACGTTGGTGTCCACGACGAGGACGGTGGAGGCCGAGGAGCTGAGGCGGGCGGAGGTGGGGTCGCATGAGGTGCAGGCGTGGGATCCGCAGTAGATGTCATCTCGTAGGTAGTGCTCTCTCACGTTCTGTTTGCGATCACAGAGAGAGAGAAGGAGAGAGCTAGGGTTAGGGTTAGGGTTTAGGGTTTTGAGAGAGAGAGAGTTTTGTTACCTTTATTATTCTTCCGCCTTTGGTCTTTCGAACGAAGGATTTGTTCTGCAGCATGGCGACGGGTTTCGGGCTTTTTTTGGGGGGGCGAGATCGAAGGCGAGGGTTTAAGAAGTGGATTTATGAGAAGGAAGAGTCACGTGCTAGGCGCGTGGATACTTCTTATTTTTTGGGCGGGCGTGACGGCCGTTGCCGTCGCCGTTAAGGCTGACGCCGTTGACGATGCTGTTGAAGGTTGGGGTATCGGGGAATTCTCGAGGCGAAGGGGAGTAGGAGAGGCTGCGCTCGTCGCCGGAGCTGTCGGTTGCCGCCGCCGCCGGATTTCGTGGGCATGAGATCGATCGATTAGGTTTTTGATGAGTTCGAGGTGCGAAGAGAAAGATTGAGAATTTTGAGAATTGGCCGGAGATGTAACGGCCACTGCGGATTTTGTAGCTGATCTTTTCCCCTTTTTAAAAAAAAAAAATGATTCTATCGTGATATGTGAGTTACATATTAACATGAGTCATTAGCACAAGTACCAAATAGTTTCCTCTTTCCCACTAAATCTCCTCGCTTAAGGGGGTGTTTGTTTGCATGCAAGTGAAAGATGAAAATGAGAAAGTTACTTTCATTTAACAATTAAGGTGTTTGTTTTCATGTAAGTGGTTATGAAAGTGAGATGTAAGAAAGTTGCCACATAAGATTTAATGCAATTTTGACTTCCCCTAAAAAAGTAGTGAAGTCACATGAAAGTGACAAAAAGGTAAGTAATTTAATTAAATGATTTTAATTATATTTTCTAATTAATCTTATTTTGCCACGTCATCTTCACATTGCACTTTCGATAATAATTTAATTTTTCAAACAAACAATGTATTTCACTTGCGTGCTGACATGGATGTAAAAGTCATTTGTAAAAAAAAAGTAACTTACATATTTTAGGATGTAAAAGTCATTTGTAAAAAAAAAGTAACTTACATATTTTAAATTCACTTTCAGATTGCCAAACACACCCTAAGTGTATCGAAGGGCCCGTGCTGTTTTACCTAACATTTGATTTGCTTTGATATTTTAACTATTTGTAAAATGATATTAAGTAAATGGAGATGAATCATTATATATACATATATGTATGTATATATATTTAATCATACTCTCTTAAATAGCACTCTTGTTGATATATTGAATTACACGGTCAAATAAAAATGAGTTAATTGTGTTGACGGAGGTCCTCTAACTCTCCAAATGCCTGGTCTTTGGGCAAGATATACTTTCATGCACAAGTAACAGATTGTAAGAAGGCGGGGTGTGATTCCCTAGTTGTTCCTCCGATGATCAAGTCAGTGTGTAGCTTGTGTGGAGAAGTAAAATGAACTGTAGCAGTTCTTAAGTTCAGAGAATGGTGAAAAAAGCTTACCTTGTAATGAAAAATAGTATCTCCTTCTATAGTAGTGGAAGGAGTGCAGGATGTTAACTTTGACCGAGCATGGGCTGACGGCCAAGTCAGCTTCAACTTTACAGGTGTCGGTCGAGGAGTGGAGGAGAGATCACTTCGGTTTAATGCGAAGTGAATGCGAAGTAATGTAGGGTGTGCGGTACCGATGTGGTCCGATGTGTCATACATACTATTGGAGGCAAAGGAATGATGGCGCTCATAATGCATTGAATGATATTTGGGGTTTTTGCTTTTAGATCCATTTGTTTACTCCTATTTATTTTTAAACCCATGTACTATTATTTGTATCTTTAAGCCCAATTCACATTTTGTATTTATTTTTAAACCCAATCTTCAAAATATAAAAATAAGTGGTTTTGGGTTTAAAGATAAATACAAAAGGTGAATTGGGCTTAAAGATACAAATAATAGTACTTGGGTTTAAAAATAAATGGGAGTAAACAAATGGGTCTAAAAGCAAAAACCCCATGATATTTATGGCGAGGTGGTCAGTCATCAGTGCACAGGGGACTCTAAACTGCTATATGACTGTATTATACACGTTAATAAATGAGTTAATTCCTTGGAGTCTTTTTTTTTTTAATTTTTTTTGAGAAAAACGGCCGTAGCCTCTGCTTCTTTCATTCAATCCAAACAACACACACCCGAAGGTGACATGCAAAACGCAGAACGAAATACGCAGCGTTATACTCTGATCTGTGAATTTTTGGCTGGACAATCATACGGCTTGTAATCTATGGTAAAACCATCAAAGGCGAGGGTTTAAGAACACATAATACAGTTCAACGTCAAAATGTAGAAATAAAAAACGGTGAAGGATACACAAAACTGGGAGAAATCCAAAATTCCATGTAGGTACAAAAGAGTCGATCAGCACCGCGACTGGCAACAGATGCACGGCAAGTCACCCCTTTGGTGCGAAACTCAATTCTCGAGCAGTTTAAGGTTCTTCTCATGTGGTTACGTTGCGCGTCCAAAACTCATCCCACCGGCACACTAGCTCATGCTGTAGTTGTCAGAATGCGGATATTCAACACAATATCCAGGCATATTCTCCTCATTCAAAAGTTCGAGTAGAAAGCGAGTATTTCAATCAATATGTTGCTTCTTTTCCCGTCTTCGTACAAGATACCAAGTTGCAAGTCCTCGTAGGCTGACACCAACAAGTATCTTGCAAACAGTAAGCATGATATAGGTTAAACTCGACCAGATGAGGATCCAAAATAATCTCCAGAGAAGAGGACCAAAGGGAAGAAGGTTTGAATATATCGGAGTTAGTACTCTGATGACCTGCATCAGGATAGAAAATATTTGTATTTAGGTGCTTGCAATATATCAGTGCCCTGATAATCGAGTTTTAAATGGGACCTACCACACATGCTGGTGCAAGAGGGATGAACGTAAGGTCTTGCCGACGTTCTTCAGGCTTCTCATTTAGCGTCTGAAAGAAGAGGGAATAGTTACATAAATTATAGAATTTGAATAAAATGATTAAGCCCTCAGACACCATATGGAGTATAAAATAACAAAAGGGCATTTTTCTTCTCATGGGTGCTCTATGCTTGAGTAAAAATTAATTCTAAGTCACATTTCAATTAACATCAGATAATAATTTAATTGTTGCTTTATAAATGATAGCTGTTCTTTAGTTTTATGAAATGAAAATATTTTGACAGAAATACACCTCAATCTGCATAGTTTAATTTTGAAGAATGTCAAATTCCAAAGCAAATTCTGATTGAGATTGCAGAAACAATCAAAGCATTAGTCTTAGGAGGAGGGAACCAATTTCAAACTTGAACCTAGTTTCAAACCTCAAACACGCATAATTTTCTCATTCCTAAAGAATAGGCTTATTTTGAACTGTACTGCTGGTTTCCAGAGTTCTGATTTCTTGGGCAATAACAGCAAAAAGTATAATGTTAAAATGATAACTGACAGTAAGTCTTAAAGGCAGGCTGTAATCATCATACTATTCTCTCTAATATAGCCAAGGAATTTGTTATCGCCTATAAAGCTGGATCATTGTATATTGTAACATGGAGATATCATACTCGATTTAAGAAGTACACAAATGAAATGGAAAAAACAGACAATAATATCATACTTCCTACAGGCTACGGCAATCATATAGACAATATATCATAGATGACAATTAAAATATGTTGCTTCAGTTATGTGACTTCATATCCAGCTAATCTCTTATGCAAACACAAGCATGTAGTATAATAGAAAGTTCAAACCATATGCTACTTTACTAATTAAGGTTAACTCCTTATCCACCATAAGTTGCTAGCCCATGCCTGCGCTTCTTAATCTGATTCTATAGCTGGAAAAGGTAATAAAATTACATTGCGGAATAAAAGGGATATAATGACCATAGCTGGCATTGAAGTTACACGGAATATATGGAGATAAAACAGCTGAATACCTGTTTGCAAAGATCTTCAAGAAACTCCGAGTATGCTGCAGGCTTTATTTCATTGAACTTCGCAAGGAAGGAATGCTTGATCAAGTCAATAAACACTTCACAAAAGTAAACCAGAAGGGCATTCTGATGGTTCAAAACAAAAGACAAAAGCAGTCTGTATGTGCTTTGGAAGACAAATCTATTCAGAATCTAAGGTCAAAATGGCAATGCTAATGAATAATGATGTATGATTTACCGTAAGAAAACTTTCAAACCATGGTCCCTCTGCCTCCAAGATATTTTGAGCTAACACAAATAGTATGAATGCCGTGATATGAAACCTCTCCACTATGTCTGGTCATACATACAAACATACAGGGTGGAAAAAGAGTTGAGAATCAGACATCTATTTGTCATACTACGCATAAAAAGTTTAAAGTGTTTGTGGGGGAAAAGTAGTTGATCTATGAGGAAAGTTTTCTGTAATAGCATTCTGTAGCTGCAATGCACTTGTAGCTGAAATAATTTTCAATAGTCTGCTAGAGCACGTGCAAGAAATGAAAGGATACATTTCAAACATCAAGCGGAGTTTTTTGCTTTTGTGAATGGATATAAGTGTGATAATACATGAAACTTCATTTTCAAGCTTTGGTCCTACATTCTGTTACAAAAAGATAAGAATATGGATCCTTTCTCTGATGTGTTTATTCTCGAAAGTAGTCCACAGAGAGCAAGATATAACATGTTCATTTCATGCGCTGTAGTAGGAATATGCATGAAAAAGATGTTAAAAGGAGATTACTCACCATAGTATACCAAATTTTGAAGGTTTTCTTTGCTGAGGCGTTTAAATACATTGCTTTTGATCTCAGCAAAATTATTTGACACCAGTAATGCCATTAAGGCATTATTGTGAGCAATAATGCATGTCGATAAAGTTATAGCCTGAGCTAATAAAATGAAAGAATGCACAAGTATGACTAGTTAAGGAAATTTGAGTTTGATAAATGCATATGCAGATGAAAGAGAGTCATGAATTTGAAAGGATATTAAAAGCAACAACAGCTATCGCTGCATCAAAGATGAATCTCAGCAGTTCAAATGTTAGATTATCCGTTGAACAATTTGCAAGCCCCTCTGCCGAGTTAAAGAGAACTTGCAAAACATCTTCCCCAAAGGACTGACACAGTTTGTCAAATATCTGTCATGAACATAGAAGAAGTTAAAAAAACAGCTTAGAACAGAATGTAGTTGAACGTAGTACAAACACTTCATTTTCTCACCTCTAATACATTGTATACCACGTAAAGTTTGACAGTGCCTTGCCCACGTATAATGTGATATATTAGGCTGATATCTGATGCAGGAGAAAAGAACAATAGGGTACCAAATAACCAACAGAATCCATGCAATTAATTATAGTTTCAGTAACTCAAGGGGGGAATGTATGGAAAAAGAGCTCAGATAGAAACTTAGAGATAAAGTAGAGAAGCATCCACCTGTCAATTGTAGGGTTATGACTCCAAAAGCCAACACAACAAAACAACCAAAATCAGATAGCTCAGCAGCATTCGGCCTCCGGAACTGCCTGCCAAAATATTTGATCAGTTAAATAACAAATTAACTGTCTAACAATCACAAGTGATGCACAAGTATGCTGGGAAATATAAAAACTGATCATATTCTGACATGCTCCTAGCGGAGTTGTCGTATACAAAATCAATTATCTTATGATCACAAATGAATCAAATGATGAACAACAGATTAGCACAATAACAGAGGTAAGAGGGAAAAAAAAGAGAAATATCACCAGTTAACGAGGTTTTGCCATATTAATAATACACTACCCACACATAAGCTTTAGAACAGGTTATCTGCAGAAAAATTTAATAAATGCATAATACGTATGGGACAGTTGGAACATATCAATCCTTGACAGTGTATACTGTTATTCAGCTTCGAATTGTCTACATAGTCATACATCCAGAATGAGCATAGGTGTTAAATAGTTAAAGGACAACATATGCTATAAACTATGAGGACCTATTCACGCATCAGCCATATTAGTAAACTGAAGATGAAATATGAATACATGAGTTTTAAATTTGTAATAGAATACAAGAGTCAAAAAACTTTCACTCGGGCAGTCTATCTGCAAAAATAAAACTAGATGGATAGTATGTTTGAAACAACAATACTTCTGAGGTCCATCGTAATTAACCTTATTATTACATTCACGAGCACAAAATTGTTTTAACAGAATTGTAAATAACATGATAGAACCTAAAGTAAAATTCTACTATGAAACTAATATATTGTAAAAGAATAGCTAATGGACAAACCTGGTCTTCAGCACCCTCCAAATGGTCATGAGAATTCTAGCTGGCATAATGGTTAGCAATGACAAAAACGAGTCCAAGCAGAAAAAGAAGCCTGCTATCATAAGCTGCAGTAACACAAATTAGTATCAGAGAACTCATTATGTTAAAAAATATTAATATGTATGGTCTAATTAAAAATTAACATGAAAGTATCAAATACTACAGTACAAATAACCATGCATACTATAGATAAGAGATTTATTTCCATTTCTTTCTGTAATTGGTTGTAGAAGACAATCTGACAATGCACCCACTAGTAGACAGAGCAATAGCACTTCTAATGAAGCGACTTACTTTTCGGGTCATGACAGTTTTTAGTTGGTAATGGTGCAAAATTAAATTATTAATTGTGGCAAAATGAGTATTCACTTCCAGTTTTATACCAAATTAATTCTAGACAAATATGAAATACAACCGTTAGCACAACTAATAAAGCTTGTCTCAATTTCTAACTAATGTGTAAAAAGTCTTTTTTGCAGTTTATTCATGTTGAAAAAAATTGAGTAAAATATATCAATACCCTTTCACATCTTAATGGCACATGGAACATGGTGTTATAAACCCTCTGTCGTTTCTTCTCATTTCCAACAGAAATTGTGCTTCGAAGGGAATTTCCACCATATATCTCTCCCACAAAGAATTTCAATGGTGATCTTTCTACAGATGAGATATCTGCATAAAACTATAAATAAAAAAGTCTGCACAATTAAAAGTACATTACACAATTGAACTGAAGCGTGCATGTTAAAAAGGTAAGATAAACTATTATGCACACCAGAAAAAAAGTTGATAGTAAAGCTTATAGCAGTAATCATATATCATATTCTTGGAGAACAGTACACAGCCTGTTTCAAGCTAGATGTACCCAAGCTTTTTGCCTATGGCAGAGAGGTCTTACGACTGTCTATAAGGGCACTTGCAAATTTATACATATGGAGCGGGTTCAATAAACACAAAAAACAAAGTCTGATTAAGCACAGAATACCTAAAGCTCCTTCTGATAAGATGCAACCCTAGCAAACTAGACAGGCTAATTAATGATCAGTATTTCCACACATTAAGATTTGTTCAATTCCACAAGTTTTGTTACCTGTACAATCATAGGTCACGTCATGAGGAGGAATTTAAGGCCATGAAGATGATTTGATAACTCTTATGCACTGGGGATGACCCAGCCCCAATACCAAGGTTTTAAATGTCGGATGTCGGGTTCATGTCGGATGGTTGAAATCCATGTCGGACAGCGAAAATCAGGGATATATCGGGGGACATTGACTAAATATCGGATTGTCATATCGGGTAGTGCGCATATGTATAATATCATGTCCTAAATGTAATCTAAGCATTCATAAATTCAATATAAGCATACTTTATAAATTCTATAGACTAGACATATAAAAAAGTAAATAATATATGGATTTGGGTTCATAAATTCTTTCTATCGGGTTCATAAGAAACCTTTAAGCATGAGAATGGGTCAAATGGGTTTGGGTATTTATCACTAAACCCAAACCCGATAGCAAAAAACAGATCTTAAAAAAAAGTATCATATCAGTCGATTTTTAAAGCTAAAAAATCACCTGATATGCCCGATATGACCCTGCTATTTCCGATTTGACCCTGAAAACCGACATACGAGTTGAAAACGTCTATATCGTGTCGGTCAAGCCCTCAAACCGATATGTCGGCCGACATGTCGGACATACGAGTTGAAAACGTCTATATCGTGTCGGTCAAGCCCTCAAACCGATATGTCGGCCGACATGTCGGCCGACATTTAAAACCTTGCCCAATACACAAACTATAATTATGATACCATAATCAAATCAGTTTGAGGTTTTGTTAGAAATATTCATAGTGTCTGATGGTGGTAAATTGGTAATAATTATTGAAATCCGCTAACTTTCCCTCACATGACATTTCAAGGTTTGTAAAATTGGAATGAACATTCGATAAATCAAGACCTTACATGTTGGCAGGGATAGTGTCCTAAACGCCAACCTAAAGCAAAATACTCTCACATGGCATTTGGATGGTTGTAAAAATGATTTTTTTTTTATGTAAACAAAAAACAGGGACGTTTGGATAAATGACCCCAACCTAAAGCCAAAAAGCTCCTTGAGAATTTGTGGCATCCATGTCATAAAATAGTAACGTCTCATAAATTGAGACCTTATATGACTAGTTATGTGACTAAGACAACTTGATATGTAAAGAACTATTTAAGTGACTATGACAACAATTCAAGAACAAAGAGACCTTTACATGGAACACTCTTTAGGTGTCAAAGTATCCAAAGTATAGCATCTAATGACTCTTCAATGGAGAAGGAAAAACTCCACACTTAACACTAAATATGCAATACATGGTTAATTCACATAAGTATTAGCACTAACCAGCCTAAAAATACTTAAATTAAGATCAACTTCCGCCTAATAACTTCATAAACTAATTGTATCCAAAAAAAATAAAAAATAAAAAACCTAATTGTATCATCAAAATAGGCCAAGTTAGAATTAAGCAAACCTCCTAAAAGATTAGGATCCCGTTTCAAAACTTGATTCCAATCCAAGCTCTCCATTGTCTCCAACCTCGCCACACCCCCCTCCGCCGCCGCCTCCACCGGCCTCCATTGCCCCGATGACTCCAAGCTGGAATTTGAACCCGAACCCTCCCTGATCCCGTTACCTTCCTCCGCAGGCACGTCACAACCCCCTCCATTGCTGACATTCCTCTGCCTCAACTCCACCGTCGAGAGACAACTGCTCCCCTGCGAGCTATCGAACTCCGATTCCTCATGAACCACCGACTCAAGCAATGATCTTTCAAACCCTATCCAGTTCGATTCCGTCCGCTTCTTCTTCGGCCTCCGCCTTGCGGGGGGGCAGCGGGTCGTGACGGCCCGTATGCCGCGCGTTAGGGCTGACGCCCGTTGACGATGCTGTGAAGCGTTGGGGTATCGGGAGGAATCATCTCGAGGCGAAGGGGGAAGTAGGAGAGGTGCGCTCGTGTCCCCCGGAAAGCTCTGGTCGTCGTGCGATAGGAGATCGAAGGAGGCCTTGCCGCCGCCGCCGGATTTCGTGGGCATGAGATCGATCGATTAGGTTTTTGATGAGTTCGAGGTGCGAAGAGAAAGATTGAGAATTTTGAGAATTGGCCGGAGATGTAACGGCCACTGCGGATTTTGTAGCTGATCTTTTCCCCTTTTTTTTTAAAAAAAAAATGATTCTATCGTGATATGTGAGTTACATATTAACATGAGTCATTAGCACTTAAGTACCAAATAGTTTCCTCTTTCCCACTAAATCCCCTCGCTTAAGTGTATCAAAGGGTCCCGGTACATGACACTGACATTAAATGGGCGCTCACATGCACGCGTTAAAGTTGCGACTGTGCTGTTTTACCTAACATTTGATTTGCTTTGATATTTTAACTATTTGTAAAATGAGATTAAGTAAATTGAGATGAATCATTATATATACATATATGTATGTACAACTATTCCTCTATACAAAATGGGAGAACTCAAGATTTACTATTCATACTACAGTAAAATGCTGCGGTACTATTCGCTGTAGCAATAAGGAAACTGGTACTGTGGTATTTTTTGAAAAATTGACTGCACCATACGGGAACAATATAGCATTTTTAAAAAACACTGTAGCAGAGCGGGATACTGTAGCAATTCAAAAAATAGTATAGCATTTAAAACCAGAATTACTGTAGCAGTAAAAAAAAGATATGTCGTGCTTTGCACGGTGTTCACACTAGTATATTTAATCATACTCTCTTTTAAAAGCACTCTTGTTGGTGTATGGAATTACACGGTCAAATAAAATGAGTCAATTGTGTCGACGGAGGCCCTCTAACTCTCTAAATGCATGATCTTTGGGCAAGATGTACTTTCCTACACAAGTAACAGATTGTAAGAAGGCGGGGTGCGATTCCCTGGTTGTTCCTCCGATGATCAAGTCAGTGTGTGGCTTGTGTGGAGAAGTAAAAGGAATTGTAGCAGTTCTTAAGTTCAGAGAATGGTGAAAAAAGTTTACCCTGTAATGAAAAATAGTATCTCCTTCTATAGTAGTGGAAGGAGTGCATGATGTTAACTTTGACCGAGCATGGGCTGACGGCCAAGTCAGCTTCAACTTTACAGGCGTCGATCGAGGAGTGGATGAGAGATCACTTCGGTTTAATGCGAAGTAATGTAGGGTGTGTGGTGCCGACGTGGTCCGATGTGTCATAAATACTATTAGAGGCAAAGGAATGATGGCGCTCATAATGCATTGAATGATATTTATGGTGAGGTGGTCAGTCATCAGTGCACAAGGGACTCGAGGCTCGAGGTGTTTCGTCATATTTCTACTCGTCTAGTGGTCGAGAATTACCACCTTTCGAGTCGCCTTGCAAAGTGTCGGCCAACGGGTTGCCAAGTGGAGTGTTTAAGTAGTCGACTCAGCCAAGGGACAACATGTAATGCCTTTTGGGTCATCGACATGTGACGTCTTTCGAGTCATCCTCGCAGGATGTCGGCGTATCGAGTCGACCGAGTTAGGCTTTTGATTATCTTGAAATGTTGACCTGATTATGCATAATGTGGGACACTTGTTTGGCATTGATTAGAGATTATTTTCCATCATTAAAATAGCTATAATAACTCTTTAAAAACACGAGTTCAGAAAAATCTTTCTGTGGTCAATATTACCCTTCACTATTTTAAAATTTTCATTTAAATCTTAATTTATTATAAACTCCAATTACATCTTACTAATCCTGCGTGAACCAGCTTCTCAGCAATTTAAAAAAATAAGAATAAATAAAATACATAAAACACTACTTTGAGTATTTCATTAAAATCTTAATATATCTTAATACTAATTATATCCTATATTAATCTCATGTGAACTACCTGTATCTCAACAATTTAAAATAATAAGATTAAGAAATTATATGTAGCTAACATATTATAATACATAAAGTATTACAAATAAAACCAAAAAGTTTCAAAAATTATACAAAATACTCTCAAAATTTAAAAATTACACAAAATACCCTGACTTTTCAAAACTTAAAAGAACAAACATGAAAGCTAGAAATTAGCAATAGCCCCTGAAGAATTTAAAATTTGCAATTAACATCCTCAACATTTTTAAAGATTATAAATTCAACTTTAAAAGTTTAAATTATAAAAAATCACCCTAAAATTCTAAATTTTCAAAACTTATAAATGACATAGACGAATTTAAGGGATTACCATCAGGCACTTGAAATATTTAAATTTGTAAAAAATAACCTCAAGGTTGCAAAAAACGAAAAACTCCCTCAAAAGTTAAAAATCACAAAAAACCTAAAATTTAAAAACTTGTAACCAGTACACATCAAATCTAAAAATAATCAATAGACCATTGAAATTTTAAATTTTACAAAAAATAACCCAAAGTTTTATTAATTTAAAAAACACCCTTAAAATTGTAGAGTTGCAAGAAATATCCTAACATTTAAAAACTTCCCATCAACACATGAAACATGAAAATTATTTAAGTACTCAACTTAAAATTTTAGATTTTTAAAAAGCACTATCAAAGTTTCAAAATTGCAAGACACACCCTTAAATGTTCAAAATCACAAAAAAGTCTAAAATTTCTAAACTTGTCAAAGATAAGAGTAATTGTTTGATATTTTTTCACTAACACATATAAATTTAACTTTCAATTTAAATTTTACTATCCCTTTTCAGCATCTAAAAGTAGTCTAAATTGATGCTGATAAAAAATAGCAATAACAATAGATTAAAGACATCCAGTTAAGGAATAAAAATTTGAAAAATATATGATATATTAAAATTGAATGTCACTGTATAAATTAAAGAAGCTGCATATAATTTGGCAAAATGGCCAGATTGGTATAACTTCTTGAGGCTTGGTGACAAGTTGGTATATTTTTTTTAAGTTTTGTCAGATTGGTATAAATTTTCAACTCCGGCGCCATATTGGCCTTAAGTTTGGCCGGAGTTACTGTTCCGGCCAGTGTTGATGGGATTTTTTGCATAAAACTCCCTTGTAAAAAACTTATCCTGCTCCTAACCCCCTCCCCCTCCTCCGCATCCTCTTCCTCCTCCTCATCCTCTTCCTCTCTCCTCTTCCTCGCTCTCTTCTTCATCTCAACCCAATCCCAGCCCTTATCGGAGTTAAGGGCTCAAATTCGGAGGATGACCGGGCAATCAGAGTCGTACGATCGATCCTTGATCTGTTCGAGAGAGGCGTTAGCCCTGACCCAGCTGATCTTCGTCGGCTCCTCTCATACCTGGGCGTAACGGATGGGGCGACTGCAATGGGGCGATCACATTCATAGAATAAGAGGAGCTTCATCAGGCACGCTCTCATACACCAACCCATCACCATCAACAATTCTAATAATAATCCCATCTTCACCATTATTAACGTTTCTACTCTTGCACTCAAAATACAACACCACGCTGACTGCAATCTCAAACACCCCCACCACCGCATACACCGCTTTCTGAACTAAAGCCGGGACATACCGCTCCCCTCCAACTTCAAACGCACCAAGCAACCCCGCGACGTCTGAGATCTCAGAGAGCATGTTGATGGTCAAAACCTCAACCAAAACAAGCATAGCCACTTCCCATTTCCTCCCAGCTACTACCTCCATCGCCTTGTATATAGCCTCCAACCCGAAACACCCATCCTCAGGCGCCATTGAAATCATCAAGCTCACTGCGAAAATCATATCGAAGCACTTAAGATAGCCGCCCTCTAAGAGAGCGAGAACTGCGTCGGGGACCTCCGGAATTATTGGATCAGGGCCCGCCATGAGCATCAAAGTACTGGGTACGGACCTTACGAGAGAGGAGAAGCCTTGGTAGAAGGCTGTTGCAAAGAGTGTGGTGGTTAACGGACGTTTTAGCCCCATAAATATGATGCTTGGATTGTTGGAGAGTGAGTGGACGATCATGATTAGAATAATACAGGAAAGGATGAAGAGGGCCGTGGGTATGACGTAGGTGAACAACATGTACTCCAAGAGGGCGGCGAGTAAGATGTCAAGCTCAGAATTAGGGTCGATGGAGACGGTGGGGAAAGGGTAGGATCTGAGGAAGGAGGTGAGGGTGGAGAGGAGGATGAGGAGGAGGACGAGGACGAGGTTGAAGTACTTCTTGAAGGGGAGTTTAATGGCTTCAAGCAAGATGTTGGGGATGGCAAGGGGTTCGGGTGTCTGTGTAGATGAGGAGGGGGCTTTGATGGCTTCAAGTAAGTTTCTGGCGACGTGAAGGGCCATGGCCTTTGCGCTTGATTTGGTTGCTGATGTTGTGTTTGGTGGCTGGGATTGGGTTGAGATGAAGAAGAGAGCGAGGAAGAGGAGAGAGGAAGAGGATGAGGAGGAGGAAGAGGATGAGGAGGAAGGGGAGGGGGTTAGGAGCAGGATAAGATTTTTACAAGGGAGTTTTATGCAAAAAATCCCATCAACACTGACCGGAACAGTAACTCCGGCCAAACTTAAGGCCAATATGGCGCCGGAGTTGAAAATTTATACCAATCTGACAAAACTTAAAAAAAATATACCAACTTGTCACCAAGCCTCAAGAAATTATACCAATCTGGCCATTTTGCCCATATAATTTTACTAATAATATTAATTGATAGAAGACTAAATTACAAAAAAAAAGACAAAATACTATAATATAATAGCTTAACATTAATTGATTATACTGTATAAACATCGATCTTGATGTTAATAATATTTATAGGGTAAAAAATATAAGGAGTTATGTATGGAGAAACTATCAAAAAGTTTAGAGGTATCCTTCAAAATAATCAATATATTTTCATTTTAAATGGAGAAGTAAAAAAAATAAATCCAAAATTCTAAAATGTTTCTGAACTATTTGAATTGACATTGACAAAAGGCATATTTATCAAAGAAGCACTGACTGAGTTACCCTTGAAGAACATATTGAACAGCTTTATCCCAATCAAATAAGTATTCTCCATGAAAGATACAAAAAAATTAGTAAATATTTATAAATTTCCATATTTTATTCTTCAAATATCAAATAAATCATAAACTTAATATAAAATTACATATAAATAAACTTGCAATAGAAATTAAAATGAAGACATTGATCAACTATGTTTCAAGATATAACAAGCCAGATAAGAGGAGGAAAATTACTATAATGGACAAAATATATACACATGATATTTATTTATAATAGCGTAAGTAAAAAATAATAAAATCAACCTTTTTCTTTTTCGTATACAGTGGCATGATTATGTGTGTGACTTTATTTAGGGATATGACTACCAATGAAGGATCAATTCTTGAAGACATGATTAAATAAGTATGTAATAACACTATCGGATTTTGAGATCTTTAAATATAAAGGTAACACATTTTATTATTAAAATTCTTAAAATCCATCTTATATTTGCCTCAATTTTGTAGGAAAGATATGTATGTCATCGTAAATTGCATCAACAATATATATATCAAATCTAAAGATACAACTTACCGAAGAAAAAAGAGAATGGTAAGTAAATCAAACAAACATCCGTATAACACAATAAAGAAAAAATATTACATTTTAAAGATAATATGCATGACTAAATATTATATTTTAAAGTTAATATGCAGGACTCATTCAGAACAAGCTGCCAAGACAAAAATATCTCCATTAAGACTCTTTATAAATGCAATACAATTCAAATTATTGATATATGCAATCATCACAACATTCGAACGAGGTCTGATCTTACAAGACCTACTCTAAACTTCACATAATTAAACCTAAAAGTAGTTTACCAATATACAGATACGCTATCGCACCTATAATACAAATATAATTGTAATTTACAATAGAGTTGAATTGTTGTTCTGTGCTTGCAAAAGCTGCAACAAAAAGGAGCATAGAGATGTTAATACGATTATCCAAATTATCAATATCATAGAATCTCCAATGACATAATACGAAGATTAAGCAATCTCTCTTCTTCATGAAGTAAACATATTAAAACAAATACTAACATTATAATCTAAGACAAATTGACAATAAAAAAGACAGTTATTTAGTTCAGATTCTCATGAAAATGACACGGACAAAGCAAATGTAATATTATTTGATGCAATAGAAATTATTATTAGATGCACAATAAAAGAATTCGTTGTAGAGAAAAAAGAGGTGATTTCTAAACTTATTTAAGTAATAAATTAGAAACAAAAAAAATTCGTATATATGAAATAAATATTTATTCTCATTGAAACAAGAAAAATTAAATTTCGTATTTTCAGAAGTTTGTGTTCAACATCAATGAATGGGCCCACGAAAGATAACAGCACAAGAAAATCCAGCTCTAGCCTGGGATGTCACAAATTGATGTAGACTATGAAGATATTACTCTAGAATTGCCCAAAAAAAGATAAAAGGTGGAGAAAGATTGATCTCAACTCAATAAAAAATAAAACAAAAAGAATAAAAGATCTTCTTTTTAAATATGTTATAGAATAGTTAAGATTTTTTGAGTAAAATTAAGAATCTTTAAAATGAATTTTCATGAACTTTTTTAGGTTTTTTATATGCTTATATGGACGTTTATATCATATAAAAGCGTATTAGAGTTAGCATTCAACTTTAGTTTGTAAATTTTTATGAAGTCTATCAACGATTATAAACAAGTTTCATATTCTCTTTAGTTTCGTTCTAGCCCACTTTTAATCAAATATCTTGGATTATTGGCTTTAATTATTCATCTTTCTTTTATAACGTTATTTTTTCAAGTGTTTTCACTTTCGAAACACTATAACTTTCTTAAGTCAAGCCAAGTTTCATGTCGAGCTAAATAACATGAAAATTCAAATTGGATTTGGATTACATTACTTCCTATCAATTCAATTATCAACATATTTAAATTCGGTGTAGCTCATTCAAACTAACATCAAAATAAATAAATAAAAAATAATCACAATGCTAAAGTTTAGATACACGAATGAGCAAAAACTATCATAGTAAAACTGAAGAACAATTTTTAGTAAGGAAATAAATCAAAAATACTTAATAATGGTATTTACCCACATGCATTACATGTGCATAAAACATAGTATATATATACATATGTATTGGATTAATGTATCCACATTTTTGGTATTACCATAGTAACAATATGTTACTTGCAAGTATGTAAAATGCAAGATTGCATCAGGATAATTATTCAACAAATGTAAGAAAAAATTAACCAAAACATAGACAAATAACATGATTTGCATTTAAAGTTTTATTGATCTTGCCGACAACAGACAACATGAGTTACAAAATATTGACAAACAAATTGCTCTTTTCCCTCTTTTGTTTTGCTTTTCTTGCTGTACTCCGATGGGAAGAAAGAATGGGAAGAAAGAATAGCAGTATGATTAAGTGGCATTGCGCTCGCATTGCACCAGTGAAGGTCAGTATCTGCAATTGGAAGAAAAAAAAGATTTGAGATGATATAAGTTAAAAAAGGAACAATATATGATTATAACACGAAGTAAACACAAATGAAGAAAATATTAGCCAATACTTAAGAAGAACAAAGCTTTCAAGGACCAGGACGCATTATAAGAGCAAAGTGAGATCTTACATGAAGCCAACAGAACTACAAAAATGCATGATCATATCCATATAACAGTATTAGAAACGTATTAACCATATAGATGCCAGTAAAGTTAAATCTACGTCTATAAGCTAAAATACCATCATCGTCAATGGTAATATTTGGCAAGAAGGCTGCACAAATATTTAAGCATTTCGCTCGTAACAAGAAGCAAGAAAATGAACTATGCTTGACCTGGTCAATGAATTTCAAGTGAACAGCTGGTTTCAAAATCTTTGTCAAATCTTTTTGGATTAGTATAAGTAATAACCATAACCTAGCCTATAAAGATGGAAAAGGCTTCAGAGTGATGATGCCTTTTCCAATTTAGCTCACATGGAGCCCTTAGCCAAATATCAGTAGCTATATAATTAACTTGATAAATGAAAGTTCTGCAAAGATAATAAGATATTGACTGTTTAAAACTGACCTTCAAGTTCTAGTCTTGCAGATCTCATAGGAAGTATGTACAGTTGAATCGCCAAAAGCATCCGTCTTAATTTCTTCAACAAAAAATCAGTGGCAGGTTCAGGTATTAATTACATTTACGCGGTTATGGAGGGCTGAAAGAAAGTAAAACCATATTAGGGGTTCATTACAAAAGAAACATCGACGATGAATGACCAAAGTTAAAAAAGAAATAAGGCTCATTCATAATAAGTTCAAAGTTTCACATCTTACCTGCAAGATTGTGGTACTCTCCATTGATGCTGCCTTGATTTCTTTACAGATGGTGGCATCGACATAAACCTCCTCCAATCATCAAGCATTACTCCTAAATCATGAATCTTACTACTCAAACCAATACAACAATTTGCATGCATGGTACAAACTTCATTGAAATCTTTGCTTGGTTCACAGATCCCGCCAAAATAATCAGTTCTCAGAAATCTCATTTGTATTCCCAAGTCTTTAGTAAAAGGGTCATGTTTGATGATATTAAGCACATCTTGGTCATGTAGCCCTGGATGATAGTCTCTCGATAGTGCCAAAATTTGTAAAATTCATGTTCTGTTGTTGGATTTGACATAGTTAAATCCTCCATTGGGTGTTTGCTAATCCTAATTCATTGTTTGCTAGAAAGTGATCACAGAAGCCTATCTGAAAAATGCTCCATCTGGAATAGAAATTGTGCATATGGATTTCGCTGACAACATAATATCTGTATCCTGTGAATTAAAAAACCAAACAAACTGAACTATCAGTACTTTACATTGTGAAACTATATTTTATCGGATAGTGCTGCCGTAGAAATTTCTTTTAAATAAAATTATAGGAGTAAAGATTATATACATTAGACAGAATATTCTCCAATAAAGTTTTGCTGCAGAAGCATATGATAGCATGTAAGCTGCATTGCTTTACCAAATTACCAGTCCTATGATGGAGTTATTCCAAGTCATCCCTTATAATAATTATTATTTTAACAAAAGGCAGGTGCTTCATCATAGAGATTTATTGGCTGATCTCTGATCCTAATTTAACCTGCCACTATATATCATAATAATTTATGTTTACTTTCAGTTTATAGATGGCACTAATATTGACCCCATCGCTAGACATTACATCCTTATATCATTGATCATCTTTACTGGACTTACTAAGTGTTTATTATGCTCAAAATTTTTTACTTAAATTAAAACATTTGTCATGATAAAGCTGTTCTTGGATACAAACTTAACTTAAACCGAGATTATCTAATATAATAATAGCTTGGAATTGGAAAATATTTATCACGACACCAGTTCTATAGCATGCAATTCAAATATATATATCTGCAGATATACAAAAAAGAAATGGTGTGGGTGAGTATGTCAAGGTTGGTTGATGTAGATTGTTGATTTAGTTTAAAAACCTTTGCATAAAGTCTCAAGGCAAGTTTGAAGGAGTTGCTGGGTTCAATTTCACCGCTGGTAATTTAAATATGTTAATTTTTACCTATTTATTCTGTCTTTCCAAGAAATTCATCCTCTTCGTATAGGCTTTTCATGTGACCCAGAGGTTTACAAGAGGCAAAATTGTATGATTGATTATATAGATTGTCGGCTCACCATCGATTAGCCGTAAGCATGTTGCAAAGTGCTTAATTGAATACGCTTACAGAAACTAAAACTGAAAGAAGGATCAACTATTATCTAACGTCTAAGTTGCATGAAAACAAGCATGGGTACCAGTGCGGGTGCGGACAGCGGCAAATTGTGAAATATAAGGTACGGGGACATGACTACATTCATATATCGAGATTAAATATTTACATGAGATCATTATTACTTTTTAAATTATTGGCTATTTAAAATCTAAATTCCTATCGTAATTTTAAGTTTCTTTATTATTGTTGATTGTTATAAATTGGAAAATGATGGTTTTTTTAAGCTAGACACTCAACACTCTTTTAAACTATAGTTTTTAACTTGGATATTGATCTTAAACAGCGCTGGACACATGTTCTAACGAGTTTCAAGAATGGACGTGAAGTGTAGGATATATGAACAAGAAGTGTACAACAAGTATTTTAAATCAAACATATATCATATAATTGAGTAAATGTCTAAGTAAATGTATGCATAGTATCCAAGGAGTTGTCCATGAAGTTTGGTACGGGTAAGGTTAGGTAGGCGTGTCGGGTACAAGTACGGCTTCATGATAGATTACGTGGGAAATAGTCTAACGTTAAAAAATCATTATTTCCAATTTACGCACAAATTTCAGAAATCTTCAAAAGTTGGCTGTAGAAAGAGATAGGAGGGATTCCATTTGGGACCAATTTATGAATGCAGGGTAACATGCATACATGGTGAGGTATGGTCTTCTCAACTTAATTAGTGCATCAAAATTTATGAATCAGAGGTAGGTTATGTGAATACATGGTCAGGATGGAACATTAAAGAATGTCCGTGTTGTCAAGATAAAACCTTTTTTTATAAATTTAATAATATAATAATTTACTAAAAAAAATTATTTGAACTTTCTATATGTAACTGCAAGCACTTCCAAATGAACAAATCAAGATCAGAGATGAAAAGAGGCAGTACCGTGAAAATGAAGTTGTATCCGCATTTCAAGAACAACTCTCAAAGAAATCAATCCTCCTGCCACATCATTTTCAGATACCCATCAGTCATGAAAACTTTTCTCTGAAAAATCTACCCCCTCTGGTAACAAGGGAAAAGCAATACGGATGTACGGAGATGGCATCGATCATATTGCTTTCTTATCAGAGCCACCATACCAAATGATCGCAGAAGGTTTCGCATTGCCTTCACCAATGCGGGAAGCTCTCGATGAAAATATCTAAAACTGAATTCGGAGAAGCCGCAAAGCTTCATTTAAAGTGGTAAGGATCACTGTCTTGGTTTCCATGGCTGCCTCCTTTAAACACACTCTCCAGCCTGATTTGCTCTCTTTCCTACACAGTTAAAATAACATCGAGTCGAAACTTCATACAATACGATAATTATTGCTGTAGGATCAATTCGATTCAAGAAATACCTAAATAACTCCATGTTCAAGAAGATTTAAAAAAGTAAAAAATCAACTAAAATCACATTGAAGAAACTGAATACTACAAATGTTTGCTACATTTCCCACTAAAAATCAAATAAATTTCAAGTAAGTATGTGCTCGGCCATCGATGAGTAAGTTTAGAATAAACTACAAATGTTGGCTACTTCCACATGAACACTTTAATTTTACAATTTTCAATTAGCTATTTAGTTGGGCCGAAGCTCCACAACCATATGTTTTTTTCTCCATAACCGGTTCGATATATTGATATTTCCCTAGCTAAACAAACTAATAAACCAGCAACAAAGAAACTAAATATGAAGAGTTATTTTTTTAATCCTAAGTTATGGGTGCTCATGGTCATGGAGAAAGATCTTGAAAAGAACGAAATTTATGGGATTTCAAAGATTGGTGTGAAGTAGGAGAGTCTTTTAAAGAAGCTGCATAATCGATAATAAATTCATTTATCTCGTAGCTCAAATTAAGCTGAAAGAACTAAAATATCAGGTTTGAGGGCGCCCGGATTCAAACCCTCGCCCTCCGAACGTGCTCGATCGATCTCCGGCGAGTCCCCGACCGCCAAGAGCTGGTCGAAGGAGCGGGGCGGCGGCGAGATCGGCACCCGCCGCCTTGTGGAGCACGGCGAGCGGGGCGCGACGCGGCGGCGCGAAGACGCGCGGCCTTGAGCCAGCCGCCGGATCGGGCGGGCTCCGGCGACGTCGACTGTATCTCGGCGACGTGCGGCGAGGGTTGAAGCCGAGGAGACCTCGCCATCAGGTTAGGGTTAGGGTTTGGAGAACTGTACGAACTTTTTGAGGGCGGAGAGACGAGTGTTTGGTGCGAGAGTGGGAGTGAGGGGGAGCTCCTGAAGAGGGCGGCGATTGATTATTTTATTATTATTTTTAAATTGGGCTTTTTGTGTAAAATGATTATTTATGAGCGGCTCCCATGATCTTTGGTAGGAGAGTCGCTTTTGTTTGGTGGGGGGAAAAGGTGGGGTGCAAATTATACTTATAATGTTGTGATTTTTGATAAAATGTATTTTCAAAAAAAAAAAATGCTTGCTAGTTTAGGAAAATTATTCTAGGAGAAGTGTATTATACTTTTAAAATTGATATTAATGAGAATATGTATTATCAGAAATAAGGTTTTTCAGCGAAAGTGGCTTATCCCAAATTATTTCTAAGAATTTAAATTTATAGGGTTCTTGTACAAAGCCACCGCAAATAAATTGTTTTTCTAGAAATCATTAAAAGTTTTCGGGTTTTTTTATAAAACCGCCAATGATGATATACATTGTAAATAAAGAGGCATCAAATCATATTTTTCATCTAAAAAAAAATCTCTGGTGTATGTTTCAAGTAGGGTCCATATTTTTTTTAGTTATATTTTTTTCATCCATTACTTAAGGGCCGCGTTTGTTTGCACGGAAGTAATTATGAAGTAGCTGAAGTAAAAGAATAAATGCCTACTTCTTTTATTTCCAAGCAAAAAAACATGTTGGTTCTTTGAAAAACTTATTTCCATTACTTTCTTAATATGCTTATTGTGGCGTTACCGTGTCATCCTTACTTCCAAAATAGTTTTCCAGTCCTTAATACTCAGAAGTAGCTCGGAAGTAGTTGAAATGCATATTAATTAGGAAATAAATAACTTTTTTATTACTATTTCCTTTATCGGTTACTTCTAACAGATTTTCATTGATAAATTACTTCCTAGTAATATTTCCAATGTTATCAAACAAAAAAGTAAATGAAGAAGTTCTACTTCCATTACTTCTAAAATATACGAAACAAACAAAAAAGTGCTATTTGCACTACTTCCTACTTCATAGTTTTAAAAAGTTACTTTTATAACATATTCTTACTTCTAATACTTCATTATCCAAACGGGGCGCTAAGTTAAACTTCCTCATATTTTTAATTCCTCCAAATTCCTCCTACTTACACACACCGAAAAGGTAGTTAGAATGGATATTTACATTAATTTATATTATTATTTAACGAAATATACATATAAATTAAGATTTGATGGCACATTGTGAACGATGTGTATTATTATAACAATTTTATGAAATACCGAGGATAACTCATGGTTCATTTCCTAAAATAGCCCCTACATTGAATCGAAAATTGAGGTTTCTTATTAAAAAAACCTTTTTAACCCCCCAAGAAAATTAACAAATGTATACGTGGGGGATCCACTCCTCTATAATAATGAGAGGATCGAAGATTCACTATTCACGCTAAAGTAAAAATGCTACATTAAATTATTAGGGTCATGTTTGATGATATTAAGCACATCTTGGTCATGTAGCCCTGGATGATAGTCTCTCGATAAGTGCCAAAATTTGTAAAATTCAATTGTTCTGTTGTTGGATTTGACATAGTTAAATCCTCCATTTGGCTCGTTTGCTAAATCCAATTCATTGTTGCCTAGAAAGTGATCACAGGCTATCTGAAAATCTCCATCTGGATAGAAATGTGGCATTGGATTCCGGAACCACATAATATCTGTATCCTGTGAATTAAAAAAACAAACAAACAACATCAGTACTTTACATGATGAACTATATTTTACGGATAGTGCTGCGTAGAAATTTCTTTAAATAAAATATAGGAGTAAAGATTTATACATTAGACAGAATAATTCTCCAATAAAGTTTTGCTGCAGAAGCATATAGATGCATGTAAGCTGCATTGCTTTACAAATTACAAGTCCTATGATGGAGTTATTCCAAGTCATCCCTTATAATAATTATTATTTTTAACAAAAGGCAGGTGCTTCATCATAGAGATTTATTGGCTGATCTCTGATCCTAATTTAACCTGCCAACTATATATCATAATAAATTATGTTACTTTCAGTTTATGATGCACTAATTGACCCATCGCTAGGACATTACATCCTTATATCATTGATCATCTTTACTGGACTTACTAAGTGTTTATTATGCTCAAAATTTTTTACTTAAATTAAAACATTTGTCATGATAAAACTGTTCTTGGATACAAACTTAAACCGAGATTATCTAATATAATAATAGCTTGGAATTGGAAAAATATTTATCACGACACCAGTTCTATTAGCATGCAATTCAAATATATATATCTGCAGATATACAAACAAAGAAATGGTGTGGGTGAGTTATGTCAACGTTGGTTGATGTAGATTGTTGACTTTAGTTTAAAAACCTTTGCATAAAGTCTCAAGGCAAGTTTGAAGAGTTGCTGGGTTCAATTTCACCGCTGGTAATTTAAATATGTTAATTTTTACCTATTTATTCTGTCTTTCCAAGAAATTCATCCTCTTCGTATAGGCTTTTCATGTGACCCAGAGGTTCACAAGAGCAAAATTGTATGATTGATTATATAGATTGTCGGCTCACCATCGATTAGCGTAAGCATGTTGGCAAAGTGCTTAATTGAATACTTACAGAAACTAAAACTGAAAGAAAGGATCAACTATTATCTAACGTCTAAGTTGCATGAAAACAAGCATGGGTACCAGTGCGGGTGCGGGACACGGCAAATTTGTGAAATATAAGGTACGGGGACATGACTACATTTATATATCGAGATTAATAATTTACATGAGATCATTATTACTTTTTAAATTATGTGCTATTTAAATCTAAATTCCTATCGTATTTTTAAGTTTCTTTTATTATGTTGATTGTTATAAATTGGAAAATGATGGTTTTTTAACTAGACACTCAAACCACTCTTTTAAACTATAGTTTTTAACTTGGATATGATCTTAAACAGCTGGACACATGTCTAACGAGTTTCAAGGAATGGACGTGAAGTGTAGGATATATGACCAAGAAGTGTACAACAAGTATTTTAAATCAAAACATATATCATATAATTGAGTAAATGTCTAAGTAAATGTATGCATATATCCAAGGAGTGTCCATGAAGTTTGGGTACGGGTAAGTGTTAGGTACGTGTCGGGTACAAGTACGGCTTCATGATAGAATTACGTGGGAAAAATAGTCTAACGTTAAAAAATCATTATTTCCAATTTACCACAAATTTCAGAAATCTTCAAAAGTTGGCTTGTAGAAAGAGATAGGAGGGATTCCATTTGGGGACTCAATTTATGAATCAGGGGTAACATGCATACATGGTGAGGTATGGTCTTCTCAACTTATTAGTGCATCAAAATTTATGAATCAAGGTAGGTATGTGAATACATGGTCAGGAATGGAACATTAAAGAATGTCCTGTTTGTCAAGATAAAACCTTTTTTTTATAAATTTAATAATATAATAATTTACTAAAAAAAATTATTTGAACTTTCTATATGTAACTGCAAGCACTTCCAAATGAACAAATCAAGATCAGAGATGAAAAGAGGCAGTACCGTGAAAATGAAGTTGTATCCCATTTCAAGAACAACTCTCAAGAAATCAATCCTCCTCCACATCATTTTCAGATACCCATCAGTCATGAAAACCTTTTCTCCTGAAAAATCTACCCCCTCTGTAACAAGGGAAAAGCAATACGGATGTACGGAGATGCATCGATCATATGCTTTCTTATCCAGAGCCACCATAACCAAATGATCCAGAAGGTTTCGCGTGCCTTCACCAATGCGGAAGCTCTCGATGAAAATATCTAAAACTGAATTCGGAGAAGCCCAAGCTTCATTTAAAGTGGTAAGGATCACTGTCTTGTCTTCCATGGCTGCCTCCTTTAACACACTCTCCAGCCTGATTTGCTCATCTTCCTACCAATTAAAATAACACCAGTCGAAACTTCATACAATAACATAATTATTGCTGTAGGATCAATTCGATTCAAGAAATTAACCTAATAACTCCATAGTAGTCAAGACTTTAAAAAGTAAAAAATCCAACTAAAATCACATGAAGAAACTGAATACTACAAATGTTTGCTACATTTCCAACTAAAAATCCAACTAAAATTTCAAGTAAGTATGTGCTCGCCATCATGAAAGATAAGTTTAGAATACTACAAATGTTTGCTACATTTCCACATGAACACCTTTAATTTTACAATTTTCAAATTACCTTATTTAGTTGGGCCGAAACTCCACAACCCATATGTTTTTTCTCCATAACCGGTTCGATATATTGATATTTCCCAGCTAAACAAACTAATAAACCAGCAACAAAGAAACTAATATGAAGAGTTTTTTTTTAACCTAAGTTATGGGGTGCTCATGGTCATGGGAGAAGATCTTGAAAAGAACGAAATTTATGGGATTTCAAAGATTGGTGTGAAGTAGGAGAGTCTTTTAAAGAAGCTGCATATCGATAATAAATTCATTTATCTCGTAGCTCAAATTAAGCTGAAAGAACTAAAATATCAAGGTTTGAGGGCGCACCGGATCAAAACCCTCGCCCTCCGAACGTGCTCGATCGATCTCCGGCGAGTCCCCGACCGCCAAGAGCTGGTCGAAGGAGCGGGGCGGCGGCGAGATCGGCACCGCCGCCTTGTGGAGCACGGCGAGCGGGAGCGCGACGGCGGCGGCGAAGAGCGCGGCCTTGAGCCACCGCCGGATCGGGCCGGGCTCCGGCGACGTCGACTTGTATCTCGGCGACGTGCGGCGAGGGGTTGAGACCCGAGGAGACCTCGCCATCAGGGTTAGGGTTAGGGTTTTGGAGAACTGTACGGAACTTTTTGAGGGCGAGAGACGAGTGTTTGGTGCGAGAGTGGGAGTGAGGGGGGAGCTCCTGAAGAGGGCGGCGATTGATTATTATTATTATTATTTTTAAATTGGGCTTTTTGTGTAAAATGATTATTTATGAGGGCTCCCATGATCTTGGTAGGAGAGTCGCTTTTTGTTTGTGGGGGAAAAGGTGGGGTGCAAATTATACTTATAATGTTGTGATTTTTGATAAAATGTATTTATCAAAAAAAAAATGCTTGCTAGTTTAGGAAAATTATTCTGAGGAGAAGTGTATTATACTTTTAAAATTGATATTAATGAGAATATGTATTATCAGAAATAAGGTTTTTCAGCGAAAGTGGCTTATCCCAAATTATTTCTAAGAATTTAAATTTATAGGGTTTCTTGTACAAAGCCACCGCAAATAAATTGTTTTTCTAGAAAATCATTAAAAGATTTTCGGGTTTTTTTATAAAACCGCCAATGATGATATACATTGTAAATAAAGAGGCATCAAATCATATTTTTCATCTAAAAAAAATCTCTGGTGTATCTTCAAGTAGGGTCCATATTTTTTTTAGTTATATTTTTTTCATTCCATTACTTAAGGGCCCGTTTGTTTGCACGGAAGTAATTATGAAGTAGCTGAAGTAAAAGAAGTAAATGCTACTTCTTTTATTTCCAAGCAAAAAAACATGTTTGGTTCTTTGAAAAACTTATTTCCATTACTTTCTTAAATGCTTATGTGGCGCTTACGTGTCATCCTTACTTCCAAAATAGTTTTCCAATCCTTAATACTCAGAAGTAGCTCGGAAGTAGTTGAAATGCATATTAATTAGGAAATAAATAACTTTTTTATTACTATTTCCTTTATCGGTTACTTCTAACAGATTTTCATTGATAAAATTACTTCCTAGTAATATTTCCAAATGTTATCCAAACAAAAAAAGTAAATGAAGAAGTTCTACTTCCATTACTTCTAAAAATATACGAAACAAACAAAAAAGTGCTATTTGCACTACTTCCTACTTCATAGTTTTAAAAGTTACTTTTATAACATATTTCTTACTTCTAATACTTCCATTATCCAAACGGGGCCTAAGTTAAACTTCCTCATATTTTTAATTCCCTCCAAATTCCTCCTACTTACACACACCGAAAAGGTAGTTAGAATGGATATTTACATTAATTTATATTATTATTTAACGAAATATACATATAAATTAAGATTTGATGGCACATTGTGAACGATGTGTATTATCATAACAATTTTATGAAAACCGAAAACTTCATGGTGATTTCCTAAAATACCCCTACATTGAATCGAAAATTGAGGTTTCTTATTAAAAAAACCTTTTTAACCCCCCAAGAAAATTAACAAATGTATACGTGGGGGATCTACTCCTCTATAATAATGAGAGGATCGAAGATTCACTATTCACGCTAAAGTAAAAATGCTACATTAAATTATTGTAGTATTATTACTGTAGTACATGTGAGCTATAGTTTTAGTATTATTATTATAACTCAGACGAGATACTGTAGCATTTAAAAAAATATTACTACAGCACTTATAAAAATATAAAAATTTGTAATAAATACAAAATTAGTGAAGCAGAAAAAAAAAAATGAACATCGTGCTTTGGACGGGTGCACAATAGTAATAATAATGCCAAACGATGGTAGCCCATTGGGCCAAACGACGATGGCTGATACATATATTTCAGGTCACTTCTTTCAGCGGCCTCAAAATTTAGGGCGCAACGAGGGTTTAAGATCGGCCGAAAATTTCCCCTCTCCCTCCCCTTTCGTTGCCCCTCAATTCAAAAATTTATTGGCGAATCAATCAAAAGAAGCAAACTTTGAGAGCAATGGCGAACGAGAAGGAAGAAGAACAGGTACAAGCTCAAGCAGAAAAGGAGAAGGAAGAAGAAGAAGCGCTAGGGTTAGGGCGAGGAGAGAAGAGGGAGGAGGATGAGGAATTGAAGCCATGGGAGCAGCACTCAGCGGTGATCAGCATCCCTCGATACGATTACAAAGCTCCGTCTTCGATTCTCGAGAGGTCGCACTCTGGGTTTCTCATCACTTGCCCTATCAGTAAAAAATCTTAATCTTTTTCTCTCCTTTGCTTCCAGTTACTTTCATCTGATTAATTTTAGGGATTTTCGTTTATTAGACCCGAATATAGAAAATTAAAAACCGGATGTATTGTCGTGATTATAGAATGTAGAAATTCAAAACAATTGGCTGGCTATTATGTTGAATTTTGGTGTGGTTGCATGGAATTTGAAGTTCAAAGGGAAGCACGTGATAATTAATTTTTTAGTATAGGAATTAATCATTGCTCGCATTTTTTTAGGAAGGAACCATGGAAACATTTTTGTCGTTAAGTGTACTTTAGTCATCAGTAATTGCATGATGATTGTCCTCCTGAAATAGCTTGTCAGAAATGCAGAAACATGCTAAATTAAGTGCCGTATGGAATTAAGCGCCTTACAGAATAAAGGCCCACTTTGGAAAGGTCACTCATCATGAAATTGAATCCTAAACCGAACTCCAGCTTTGGAACAAATCTTAAGCCAGAACCCGGTATCACACCACTTTGGCTGACTTTTTGCTTCCAAAATGTCACCCGATATATCGGGAAAATCACAATGTATTGGGGACTCAGGAAGAATTTCCCAAAAGCTATAAACAATAGGTAATATCTTTCTCGTTGTGGCAACCCTTAAATCAACGTCTTGGCACATGTTGGGACCAATGTTTAAATATTGATACTATGAACTCTCAATTTTCTGATGGTAGACGCTATAGTGTCTGCAGCAAAGACTGAGACGAAGGCAGAGGCGAAGCCTGCCTTCGCTGAGGTAATCTTTGGCAATAACGTATATCAAAAACTATGTGGAAATAATTACCTACAGTGGAAGCGGGTGATTGAGGTCTATATAGCCAGTTGTGGGAAGAGTATTCATCTGTCAGAAGATCCTCCTTCTCCACCTACCGCGACTTGGACACAGGACGATGCTATCTGACTATATGAGATCTTGAATACTATGGAGGTTCGCATTCAGGACTTGGTGCTTTATTGCGAGACGGTCAAGGAGGTATGGACCTTTCTGGTAGAACTTATCATGTCATTCAAAAGCTCTTCCGCACCAAGATGGAAGAACTTATGCTAGAGCAGTATTATAGTAACTTCAACTGTTTGGCAGAGGAGTTACGTTAATCTTTCCTATCACATCTGATGTCAATCAGATGCAGAAACACTGGAACCAATTAATGATACTGGCATTTTTAGGCGGTCTTGATGATATATATTCTCTTGCACGAGCACATGTACTTGCAGCTCCGCCATTAACTCCTTTCCAGAGACCTACCTCTTTTTGAAAAATGTAGTTCCTTTAGCATATTCAAGCACTTCTATTTCACTATCGAGTAGATCTTCTCTTGCAGCTTATGGGAGGCAGACAGGAGGACGTGGTGGCAGTAGTCGCAGAGAGGGTTAGGGAGGTAGTTGATAGGGGCAGACTGGTACTCATAGTGGACGAAGTGAAGGCTTTGTGCTTTATTGCTATTACTGCATAGAGTTTGGCCATACGATGTACTGATGCCCCATTTTGCAAGGCAAACATGTCAGGAGTGCCTAGTAGCTACGCCCTAGGATAAGCAACCTGTTTTTTGGAGCATACCGAATGATAAGCAGACTAGATGTTTGTTTGAGTAGGTTCAGTTATTTCAACAGTTTCAGAGTGCACAAGCCCAATCTTCCTTTGCCATGACTACTTTAGCCTAGATAGGTAATCCTACTGCTTGTCTTTTATTGACCATGTCTCGCATTTGGGTCATAGATTTAGGGGCGACTAGTCATATGATTGGAAACAAAGGTGTCCTATTTACTCTTATAGCTACTTCTTTACTCCTTCGATTATATTGGTAGATGATTCTAGGACACCTGTACATGGTATTAGCACTTCTTGCACCACAACGATTTTTCTTTTATCTTCTGCTCTTTACCTACCTCGTTTCCCTTTCAATCTATGACCATAAGTATGATTACTAAGGTTTCAAACGGCTCAAATAACATTATTTCCCACATGTTGTATTTTTAGGAGCTTGGAATGAGGAGGACGATTGGCACATGACGTGAGCGAAATTATCCTATATGTTGAAGTTAACATCCAACCAAGCAATCTGTACCAGTTCAATACTTCAATGCCAGCTTTGGACAAGCACTGTTGGTTTGGTCATTCTTCTCTAGATGTGCTTAAACTTTTGGTACCTAGGTCATGTTTAGAACTTAGTGTGTGAGTCGTATCAGCTGAGGAAACACTGTCGTGCATCTTACTCCAGTTGAGTCAATAAGAAGGCCAATAGCTTATTTGATTTAGTCCATCAAAATATATGGGGACCATGTATTGTCATTTCTAAACTTCGTTTCTAATATTTGTTAGTTTTGTTGATGATTTTTCTTGAGTGACTTGGAACTATCTCATGAAATCTCAATCCGAAGTATTCTTTATCGTTAATTATTTTGTTATAAATAAAAAATCAATTGGATATTTCTATTAGACTTTAGGATCTCACAATACTAAAGAATAATTTGATTCATGTTTTATTGAGTTTGCGAAACAAAATAGAATTTTGCACCAATCTTCATGTGTTTATACACCTCAATGGAATGGAATGAAGTTGCAGAACGTTAGAATAGACACTTGAAATTGCTTGAACTCTCTTGCTTCATAGACTTGTCCCGAAGATTTTTTGGAGTGATGTTGTTTAATTAATTGTATGCCTTCCACTATTTTAGAAAACGAAATTCCATAGTTTGTTTTATATCCTGACATTGAGTGTTTCCCTCTACCTCCAAAAATACATGGGTCACCGTGTTTCATTCATGACCATAATCCTTAGAAAACTAAACTTGATGCTATAAGAGGCTAGATTCAAGAAGGGCATTATTCTATCATAAAGAAAGTATGTACTTGATATGCTATCATAGGCTAGAAGCTGACTTATAAGAGAATTTGATTCGCCGATGGATGTGCATACTAGGTTGCATGTGAGCAGGGGGATCACTTTGTTGTAATTGTTAGCCAGTAGTAAGGATACTTAGAAACTTGAAGAAAGCTCCAAGGAAGGAACCTCTCTACTCATTTGGTGGAGATACTAGAGTGGTTGGAATTTTGGATGTAGATTGGGCAAGACTGCCTGCTTATAGATGATCTACTACAGGATATTGTGTCTTCCTTAGAGTGAATCTTGTGTGTTGTTTCCCGGTCTAGTGCTGAGTCATAATATCATGTGATGGCGAATGTGACTTGCAAGTTAGTCTAGGTTAGAGATTCATTGATGCAGATTGGGTCCTATAAACTTATATGGTGATAACAAGGCTACTATCCACGTTGCTGAGAACCTCGTGTTTCATGAGAGGTCAGAATACATTGTGGTCGATTGTCGCGTTATATGAGAGAAGATAGATGATGGAGTCATTACCACAAAACATGTATCTTAAGAGAATAAGTTGGCAGATCTCTTTACAAAACCTCTTAGAAAAACACAGGTGGATTTTATTCATGACAAGCTAGACATTTATGATATATATTAAGGGGAGAGGGAGGGAGGGAGGGACTAATATTTGTACTTCCTTGGCATTTTGAGATGAACCAAACCTGAAACATAATATGTTACTATATGAATGTGAAGAAGAGTGAAGGATTGCAAAAATTGCCTTGGTTTTTGATATATTTATCCTTGCCTTTTTGAACATGAACCCCCACCAAAAAAAATCTAGTGTATAATTTCCATTTTCCTAACATTAGATATTTTGGTATAACACTATTTAATTTCTGAAATTCGCCTTGTTTTCTTTTGCAACTATTCTTTCTTTTTCATAAGTGGTCCTTAGATCGTGGCATTGCTTTTATACCTTGTATCATATGTTAGCAACTGCATCTTTCTCCTCTTATTATTCTAAGCTTTATGAATTCCAGCTCTCAAATTCTTAAGTTTTGCCAAACTTATTTCTTCCAAGCTTTCTTGTTCTTTTTTATTGTCAAAAGTTATGGCTATGATGTATGTCTTTCTTACTCTTTCAGAACGAGAGAAAAGTGCCACCAAGGAGGCGATATCTGTTCTTGAAAAGGTTTACAATTGCTTTCTTTCACGTAATGTTCATGCTTGTTTTGCTCTGAATTTATTAATAATTTGATTAAGTGAGACCAATCAGATTGGTATATTGGCTTGAAATATTTGTCATTTAACTTATTTGAACTTTACATTAGCCTTGGAACTGAATAATCTTACTGCATGGATATCAAGATCAGCATAGTCACTGACATTTCATATATTTTATATCTAGATCTAGATTTCCTTTAAAACAATTTCCTATGAGCGGAAGCCCATACTAGGTTGTCTGTCTCTGAAAGCTATCAGTTTGTCCCATTCATATCTCTCCCACCACCAAACCCCCCTCAACACACACAACCACCCCACCCCCCATAAGGAAAAAGAAGAGAAGAACTATCTTATGTACCTCATTAGTTGACTCTTTAAGCACCTAGCTGTAGTTATGACACTCTATTATTCATTTTCTAGCAGTGTTACCGAGTCATGGGACATGGGACAAATGTATGACATGAATTTGTGATTTTTCTTTCATGGGACACGGAGTCCAACTGTCCAAGTTTCATGTGATCTTGCATTTCTTGATGATGATACCTTGAATTTGTGATTTTTCTGCAGTTTGTCAGCTCTATGTATAGTAACAACCGTCCAACATTGGGATCTTGTAATGCAAGAACTGTTACAAAAAAGAGGAAAACTTTTTCAGAGGAAACAAATACGGAAAATATTGAAAAGACACAAAGGAATGGAGCTGATAGTGCAAAGGCTTTTGGTAAGTATTAGGTTTTATGCACGTGCAATGCACGTGGTTAAATATCATGATTAAATATATTTGATTTATTTCCTTACTAAAACTTGTTACTCGGTTTCACTTTGATGGTTTTTGCTTACTTATATCTCTAAACTTTAGCATTGTAATTATTTATTTTCTTTAATGTTTGTTTAAAACTTTAAATGAACTACACCCAATTTGAATTTTCGTATTGATAATTGAATTGACAAGAAATAAATGTAATCCAAAATCAATTTGAATTATCATGTCATTGAGACCGACATGAAACCAAGCTTGACCTGAGAAAGTATAGCATTGCAAAAGTGAAAAACACTTCAGAAAATAGAGTTCTAAAAGGAAAATAAATAATTAAAGCTTATCAGACAAGATGATTGGTCACAAGTGGGCTAAAATGACACAAAATATAATTTAGAGTTTGTTCCTAATCCTTAATAAACTTTAAAAAAATCATAAACTAAAGATTAATGCTAAATCTAATACACTTTTATATAATGAAAGCATCCACATAAGCATATAAAAGTACTAATTTTTTTATGAAAATCCCTTCTAAAGATTCCTAATTTACTCAAAAATAACTATTCTATAAATTATTCAGAAAATAGTGCATTTCAGTCCTTATGTTTTAATTTTTATTGAGACGTTATCAATCCTTTTCCACCTTTATCTTTTTCGATAAAACCAGACTACTTTTAGATGCCAAAAAGGATAGTAAAACCTTAAATTAAAAGTTAAAATTACATATCTTAATGAAAGAATATCAAAGAACTACTTTTTTTCTATGTTTTGAAATTTTCGTGATTTTTTCGTGATTTTGAATTTTTAAGGGTGTGTTTTGCAAACTTTAAAACTTTGAGTTTTTTTAAAAATTAAATTTTAAGTTAGGTGCTTGTAATTTTCATGTTTCATGTGGTGGTAGTAAGTTTTCAAATGTCAAAATATTTCTTGCAACTTTGAATTTTGAGGGTATTTTTCACAGTTATTGAAACTTTGAATTTTTTGTTGCAAAATTTAAATTTTTAGCGGCCTGCTGATAATTTTGAGATTTGATATGTATTGGTTATAAGTTTTTAAAATTTAGGGTTTTCTGTCTTTTTTTATTTTCGAAAGAGTTTTTTATAATTTTTATAACTTTAAGTTTATTTTTTTACAAATTTTAATTTTTTAATGCATGATGGTAATTCCTTGAATTCATCTTTGTTGTTTGCAAGTTTTGAAATTTTAGAATTTTAGAGTATTTTTTTTATTATTTGAACATGTTTTTATCGTTTTTAAAATATTGAGGGTTTCATGTTTATTGTTTTAAGTTTTGAAACGTCTAGACGTTTTGTGTAATTTTAAACTTTTAAGGATAGTTTTGTGCAATTTTTAAAACTTTTTGGGGTTTTTTTTGTAATACTTCATATATTATAGCATATTAATCTTTAAATTATTGACCTCCAAGTTGTTCACATGAGATTAGGATAAGATATAATTATGATTATAACAGATTAAAATTTAAATAAAATATTAAAAATAGTCAAGGGTAATATTGACCATGTAATATAATTATGATTATAACAGATTAAATTTTAAATGAAATATTAAAAATAGTCAAGGGTAATATTGACCATGTAAAGATTTTCCTAAACTCGTACTTTTAAAGGGAGTATGATGTTTGCCATGGATGTGCAAAATGTCTAAATTTAGAAGACTAAGCATAGCTAGCGCTAAACCTCTGTATATCTGATTGTATTTCTTTATAAACAGGTGAGCTTGTAGAAAATGTTAGTTCGGAGGTCAGTATGAACGTCGGAAGTAGTCTGTCACTCTCTCTGGTTAAATTAACAGGAAGTGGGTTGCTGCTCTTTACATTTACAAGTAATAGCTTCCGCCATGTTGTTGGTGTTCTATCAAATATTCTTCAAGCTCTTGGATCTGGTGATTTGAAGCGACCCCTGTAAGTTACCGTCTCTTTTTATACTCATGTATATATGCAAGACTATTTGTCAGTTGCGAGTTCCATTTAGTTTTTCATTATGCACTCTTTTCCATTCTTTTGCAAGTTATGCTGGTCTGCTAATCATCAACTCTAGTAAAGAGTTGTTTTTGATGTCCAATACTACTTTGATACTATCTAATGATGATTAATGAAAGCAAAATATCTCTGTGGATAGGATCATTATTGATCAAATTTTCACTTTTATGTTTTGAAACTCGCATTAAGCATGTAACTTTAAAAATATTAACTTGTTGACTCAAGTTATAATCTCATTTTTATTTAGTTTATTGTTCTCACTTATGCTTATTTTAGCTTTCAAGTGCATTCTTGTTAGATGAACATATGCTACTTTCTGGTGCTTCTGTAATTATTTTGTAGGTTAATGTAAAAGATATATGTTTATGTTCATTTCTGATCTTTATGCACACTTTTATGTGCTCCATAGATCCAGCTTTCAAATGTGAAGAGCATATTAATAAGACATCTATTCGAGGCCCTGAGCTACAGCTCTCCATTTATACAAGCCTATTTCTACTATTTAATTAAATATTCATCTGCCTTGTCTCTTCAAAAATGAGATTGGTTTTGAATGCAAGTTTATGTCAATATTTTATGCTGCTGATAATTTAAGAATTTATTTATTTGCATGATCACTGCAAGAAAAAGAGTTTCCCTTGTGAACATTATGACCTCTAATACTATGATAATATAGTGTCTCTTGATCCATTAATACACAACTGAAGCTTTCGCATATAGTGAAAAATGGCAAAGGAAGGTGGTGTAGGCAGTTATGTCTGGATATTAAGTGCACCTTTTGGAGTATTTAGAAGATGTAATTCTAAATTCTAATTACTACATCCTCTAGAGTATCTTATCTACTCGTAAATCCCTTCCAAACAAGACTTGAACTGCACGATATCTTCAGTATGACCGTGAATATGTAAGTGTATTCTCCTCTAAATTCAACCTATTAGTACTTTATACAAGTATCGTCATCAGCTAACGTTATGTTACCTACTTGCGAAAATCAAAGTTCTTGGGTTCAGACTGCTGCTTTCTTTAGTCACAGAGAATCATTCATGTTCTCCACCCTTCCTTACCTGTAATCCAATTTTCCATTCTGAATCAAATGTGATTATTTCTTTCAACAGCTGGTGTAATCGCATATTTCCTATTCAGGAAACCTGTGTTTTAACGGAGAAGAACCTACAGACAGTCGTATCAAAGCTTGTCCAAGAGTACTTGGGCAAGGAACAAGAGAGTCTTGAAAGGCCCATTAAGGTGAAATCGTAGCTGTGCAAGTGGAAAACGAAAAGTTATTCTGTTTCTATTTAAAAAATTGTTTCTTGCTCTCTCATAACGGTATTCTCGATTCCAGTTTGCAGTGGCATATAACAGGAGAGGCGTCGAGGAGATAGAAACGAAGAATTCAAAATCCGCAACAGATTCCAAAATACCACTTTTATTGGATCGAGAAAGCTGCTTTAAGATTGTGGCTGGAGCATTTAAAGATGTCGCGAAGAACTCGGTTGTCGATCTCAAATCTCCTGAGGTGGTCCCTTCCGACCTCACCTTCTTCATTCCGTTCTCGGAAACATAATTATTATCCTATATAGCTTCATCAAAGTTTTTATGGTAATAATTTCAGGTGGCGGTGATTGTTGAACTACTTCCTCTATCAGGAGTACCCAATGAATCTGTAGTAGCCGGAGTGTCTATTCTCCCACATGAGCTGATTGCTACCAAGCCAAGGCTTTGCGTCAAACCTCTGGTTTCAGATACAAAGGCAACAAACAAAAGGAATTGAGAAGAGAGATTCTTCTCAGTTACAGGAGATTTTGCTTTTGTTTTTGTTTCTGAGTATTATGATACTATTATGGAACTTTATGACATAATTATATGATACTATTATGGAATTGAGCATACCTATTTTGTTTTATGTTTTTCAAATTTTTTTTGTTCGGTGCAAAATAATGAAATGACATATATAGTAATATAAATTTTTAACAATTATGATTTTGTTTAAATGAATAAATTGTATGATAAAAATGTGTATAAAGAATTATATGATTAATTACTATAGTTTGGATAATTGTTATAATTTATTCATAATTTATTAAAATAATTATAACATATTAGATAATTTCTTCTTTTTAAAGATAATAATATTATACATAGCATAAATATAGTACTATTAGTTTTTTTTATTTTTTTTTAATAATATTACTACATTTTAATTTCATAATAAGTTTATTATAGTATTAGTAAATAATTTACTGAATTGTGTATATTAAATTACAGTATAACTTATTAATCTAAAGATACTATTACAATCATTATACTATTAATATTATTATAATTACAATAAATACAAATTTTTTTTTTTATACTATTATCATACTTTTAAAGGCTAATAAGATGAAAGGTAAATGTAGTTGTCTATAAGAGGTGAAACCCATAGGCACAAGGCATAAGAGTAAGACTAATGAATTGTTATTATTTTAAATTTTTTTAGAATTTTAAATATTATGTGAAGATAAATCATGGATAAATTTTAAGTTTTTTATTAAATAACATAATCAAATAATAAAACAATAATGTGACCAAAGGTTTTGAAAAAGTGAAGAAATGTATAATTAATGAGAGGTTATATATAATTAGTGAATGATTAATTATAACTAATGACACATTTGAAAATTATCAAACTTAAAAAGGTAAAATTGGAAATCAAAAGTTTTGACAAGGCAATCATCTTTTATAGGTAGCATAGATTTTTTCGCAAATGAAAGGTTTCATTCTTCCGGACTATGCTTTTTAGCCTTTCGTTTTTATTTCTTCGTTTAGTTTTCTCCTTCATTGGTTGGTCAATTGCACTAGCTATAAAATAGGAATTTTACATCAAAATCACCTTTACTTTTACGCAAATTGTTATTTGTGACCTTTAAAGTTTTTTTTGGATGCAAACTACATTTACTTGCTAACATATTCGCAATGTTGCATGTAATTCAGTTTTCAGCTAAAAACATGTGAAATGACCATTTTATCCTCATCATTTTTTTATTTTTTTCATCTCTTTCCTCACGAACCCTGATCCTAGCCCTAACCCTAGCCTCGTCATCCTCCTCTTCTCCTCATCTTCCCTCTCCCTCCTCCCCCAATTCCCCTCCCCCTCTCTCGTCCTTTCTCTTCCTCCCCGACCTCCCACTCTCTCATTCCTTCTAAATGGGAACTAAGATTAGGGTTAGGGTTTGGGGGAAGTGGCGGCCATAGGTTAGGGTTAGGGTTTTGGGGGAGGGTGGTGGTCATGAATTAGGGTGAGGGTTTTGAGAGAGGTTGTGGCCATAGGTTAGGATTAGAGTTAGGATCTGCAGAAGAGGGGATGTAGGAGGCTAGGGTTAGGATTGAGGGTTGGAAGGAAGAAGATTGAGGCAAAATGAAAATATCTAATTTTTATGGGTGAGGTGACATTGCAAACATGTTAGCAAGTAAATGTAGTTTACATTAAAAAAAAACCTTTAAAGTTGCTAAATATCAATTTGGGTAAAAGTAAAATAATTTTGATATAAAAACCTTATAAAAAAATATCTATAGAACAAAGAGTATATGATATATGACCAACTATATATATCATATTTTTTACTACACCCAAGAGGTTTATTTTTGGGACCCTCTTTCCAAATGAAAGAAGTCTAAATTCTATAGAGATGAATAAACATATCCATATAAAATATGTGCTATAAATGATCCAAAAATTGCTATACTTACTGAAAAAATTAGATCAATCTGAGTCATTCAAATTTGGATGGAAAAACATCTGTGGATGCAGTTAACCATTTTGATAGCAAGTCAAAACCCATTACTCCTCGATCAAAATTAATTCCGATCGCTCCCAACGATTCTTACCCCCTTTTTTTTACCCCCCTTGGAGTAATTGCATATTAGTTCCATAAATCATTCTTAACAGTCAAAAGTCCTTCAACTCTTCGGTATTTGCCAACGAGTCCCTCAAATCATAGCTATTAGAGAAAGTATCATTATTATCTTCTACCTAAAATATAAAAAAATAAAATAAAAAAATCACATATTACTTTGGGTAAAGGATCATGATCACCTCTTAACACTTTTAAAAAAAAATAGATTACAAATATCTCCAAAATTTGCAAACTGACCCAACAAAGGGCCACACGGATATTCGAAGCGAATAATGGAGTGAAAATTTAATCTCGCGTCGGCTCATACTCAGCGGCTACTTAAATTTTAGATCCGCAGGTAATCAGTATTTCGACGCCTAACAAAATAAAAAATAAAAAATAAAAATAAAATAAATAGAAAAATAAAAAATCTACTTTGGAGGCCTCGCCTCTTCCAACCATGAAACTGGGAGGAACTGGATATATAAGCTGGAGCGAGCGGAGACCAGGGGCAAACCCTAGTATTGACGGCTGAGATCTCTCCACGTGTACGATTTCCTTTCTCTTAGAATATACAACGGTATTGTAATCGGGCAGAATGTAAAGGCCCACTAGAAAAGAAAACGACAGAAGGGCCATAAAACGACAGGTTCATTTTTGGTATCAAAATCAGGCCCAATAAGATAAATATCTCGCCGTCCCTAAAATCAGGCCCAATAAGATGCCCCGATATTGGGCTTTCAGAATAAGACCCGCAAAACTTTTTTTTTAAAGAAAACCTTCTCGTTAAATGTCGTGTTATTTGAAGGGAAACTAATTGTTTGATAATTGAACGGATTTGGCATGCAATCTATACAAAAAAAAAAAAGTCTTAATTTAATTGGTGTTGATGCTTCCTCTCGAACCTTCGAATGGAATCTTCCCATCTTAGCCCTGTGATTTTAATCTGATGGATAGCATCTGATTCATTTTCGAATGGTCCCATAAACGAAGCTCCGCCATCGACGAATCATACCCTTCCACGTGCGACCGCGGGAAATGATGACATCGGTGCCGCGTCACGCCGTGCGGCTTCGCCCCGAAGTAAAGGGCGCCGCGTCTAGAACATTCTCCTGGTGGGCCCGCCTTGTCCGAGGTGGCAAATAGTTGTACGCTGTTCCGTACGAGGCGGGTGGGGGTCTTCTAGCCAGTTTGATTAGTAGGGGACCACGTGCGCCGGCCAAGGACCATTGTGGACCATAGTCGGAGAACAAGGGGTTATTTGCATATATACTCCTTAAATTATGATTATTCGCGAAGACACCCTGTGAGTAACGATATTCGCAATACGACCCATCAAATCATTAAATTTGTAAAGAAGTTTACGCTCAAAGCAATTAATCATCAACTTTGATAAGCTAATTTATAATAGCAATGTAAAAGTTATCAACAAGATAGTTAAAATTTTAACACCAAGCTAATGCTTTTTTGTTTACTACTTTAGGGGTCTTTTTTCACAGAGTGGATTATTTGAGGCAAGTTATCTTCGAAAATACCCATGTTTTAAGGGTTATATATGCCAATAACCCTAGAAAATATTGTTCACTATTAGTTGCAGAAAGTTAGCGTCAACCATTCACTTGGTTTTTTTTTACTGAGATAGAGTTGCGGTGTTAAGAACCGTTAGATTGGACTTGAATTTGAGGCCCCCTTGATCGTCTTCTTAGACTAATGATGATTTTTTGCTTATGATAATCACAAAAAATAAAAATAAAATATCAAATTGACAGTAGTGGTTGTCCATCAGCACTCATTCGATGCCTAAATTAGTCTCTTGATGAAAAATAGTAAGCAATATGAAAGCGACTAGGACTTGGAATTCCTCGTCCAACAAGTAAGTCCACATGTTCTGACCTGATTGGCTGATGAAGGTTCATTGGACGTGCGTATAGGCAATAGTTGTCAATTAAAGAGGCTGATTATTAATTGATCTCTCTTGACATGAATGTTAAGGATATCGTGTGATCAAATTGAACCATCTCTAATTAGACGGGCTCCTACTGCCTTTGCTCCCTCCAATTTATTTTCAAATAGTATATGAGAATTAGGGACCTCATAGCAATTCTAGTGACTTGAGGGACGAGTTACAAAGTAACAAGAAACAGGGGACCTAATATGAGTTTTCGATTACTTAAGGGACTACATCCAAATACAAAAGATTTCAGGGGCTAACGTCGACGAAAACAAGACTATAAATTGACCGCGGTTCTTGGTCTCTTCCATACGCTCTCACTTTCCCTTGACAAGATTCGAGTCTTGCGACCCAAGAAAGCGGTTTTAGATCTCGTCTGGTGGTTTTCCGATATTGGTAAAAGCGGTTTTAGATTTCTTCTGGTGGTTTTCCGATCTAGGTAAAAGCGGTTTCCTACCCACTTCAGCCGTTTCAATTGTTTAATTCGATCAAATTCCTGTCAATTTAGCTGGGGTTTCGATTCTTGGGGTTTAATTTTCATTTTTTTGGATTTCTGTGGAACTAAGTTCGCTGATGTTATGAAAAATTGAAAATGGGTTATTTTGCACATATATTCGTTACATCATGGGTATTTGCAAAGCTACCCTTCAAATCATTATTCTTGGGAAAAAAATTACCATCAAATCAACATCTTAATTTTCAAGTAACCCGCTGATCTGAAATGTTCAACAAGAAAGTGAAAATTATTGAAACCTTAATTTTACTACAGAGTTTTGTTCTACAAAAGTTTGAGCAAATAATCGCACTTGGATAAGTGTCTGTACAAATGTCTGCACTTCAGACGCTACGGATATTAATGAAGCAAAAATCTAGTACTTTACCATTAATCTTAAATTTTTTAGATGAGAGGGTTTCTTTAATAAAAAAAAGAAAAAGAAAAACAATGTATAAATGGTGGGAGTTTCTTGTCCATTAGCCTTAAAATTTTATGTAAATTAGATTGTGAACTAAGCTAAGCTTCTCATATGCAATGGTGGTTACTTTGAACCCAATTTTGTATTTTTTCCCGTACTAAATGGAGTTTGTTC